CTGGTTGCAAGGCTGCTGTGAAACGACGCATGGTGTAAGTTGTGCTCCATGTCACTGTTGGAGACGAGACGTGCTAACGACGATGACAGCTGAGCGACACGCTTCTTTCGGTGCTTGCGACAAGGGGAGGTGAGATGGTGAGGAGCATCTTTGAGAAGCCAGCCAAGTGGGACAATGGCGATGTCCTGGGAGGGTACGAGATGCGCGAGTGATGTGCAGGCATGGCTCGTGCTTTTAAAAACTGTACATAGGTAATCTTCTACTTTTCTTGCTTCGACTGCTACTATGACGTCTTTGACCATGCCCACTCGCTTATCCGTCAGCCGCTTGAATTGCAAGTCGCACTCCTGCATTGCGTGTTGTGCGCGGTGGAGAAGGCGAGCATAAAAAAGCAACGCTTGTTTGGAATTGATATCAGAGCCTAAGTAGCATTCAGGGTCGCGCCTTCCTGTTTGAGGACCCTGAAAGCGGACGCGGGCCAACAGCGAGCAGTGCAGCACAGAGTAATTCTGGCGGGCGGGTGTGGTGCAGCTGGGGCAGGAAGGATCGAGGAGCAAACGGCAGCCAGCAAGGCGCGATGAGGAGCGTGAAATGCAGCAATCACCCCACGATGATGGGCGTGAGGAGGTTGGCCGCTTTGGTCACTAGCGCAACCAAGGACAGAGCCCAATTCCATGCATGTTGCAATGGCGCCGACATCAGCGCTACGCTGACCTCAAACCCATCCTTTCCCTTCTGCCCTGTGAAGACTCGCTCGTGCGCACCAATCTGCGCGTCTGTTCCTCTGCGGCTGCTCCAGGTCCTGCTGCGAACAGCGTACAGCCGTTGACCACGTAACACACCACACCCCGCAACAGCCAGACGACGCACCCCCGTCCCCTCGAGGCTCGTACGGCCAGGCCCATAACAACAAGCGCGCTCCCCTTCACCTCCAGCCCACGCACGCCCGTTGCAATCAAGACGCGAGTGCTGCGCCGCAGTCGCTGCTTGACGGAGCTCAGCCCACCTCTCCAGCCAGCGCGTACCCTCGGCATGCAACACCCGCAGTGACGACTGATTGGCGTCTCTTCCTGCGACACAGTCGCTTTGCAACCCTCAGCACCCGCAATCTCCGGCTGCCATGGAGCCACAGTGGACGGCCTACTCAGAGGCACCGGGCAATCGGTACTCGCACAGCATGACGTCCTCTCCCCACGCCTCGAGAGACGCCAGCGTGTCTTCGCAGATCAAGCAGGACCCCTACGCAACCCCGTCACGCCAGAGTTCAATGCCGCTGCAATCGCCCAGCGGCACTGCTAGCCGCGGGCCCGACTACAACGACGGAGATGGCGATGTGCCCATGGAGGATGCATACAAGCCACGGCTGAACAGCATGGCGCGCCCACAACAGCAACAGAGGCATTCGCAGCAGTACCTGCAGCAAGAGGAAAGTGCCGCCGCACGCAGATACTCGCCTATGAACCTCTCTCCTACCTCACCCTACTCGGCCGGCGCACAGCAGGCTGGCCAGAACTACACCAGCTTTACCCCTCAGGCCCAAGCGCAGAGTCAAGGCAACCGGCAGAGCCCGACGCGCAACAATCCCTACATGTCGCCGCCCAACAACAACAACTACTACTCTCCGCCGTGTACGTCCATCTTGTGCTTTGGTTTACCCCCGTCTTAGCGCTGCGATACTGACTAGCATTGCTTTAGCCTCCCGACCGCATGCGCCTCAACTGCCGCCCATACAGTCAAACATGAGCCCAGAGAGTTTCTACCCGCAATCTGCCACGGCGCAGCTAAACGCAGTCTACAACAGAGACGCTCGATCGCCGCGCGCATCTGCTAACTCGAACCCTCCTCCACAACTCCCTCCTATGGGACGAGGCCCGGTCCCAAAATTCGAAAAGTGTGTCAACACTGCCGACTTGCAACCCAAGATCAATGCCCAGCCGCCTTTTCGTCGCGCCAATCCAGAGGGCGGATTTATTAGCGTAGGTTGAGCAGTCTGCTATAGGAACCATATGCTGATAGTGATATTTAGCCTCTGCAAGCCCTCACTGCACATTTGCCCATGACATACAAGCTGTGCAATGGCGGCTTCAACTACCAGTCATCACGCAATCCTCGCCGAGTACTCACGAAACCGAGCAAGGGTGTCAAGAACGATGGCTATGACAACGAGGACAGCGATTATATTCTCTACGTGAACGACATCCTGGGATCGGAAGAATCTGGGCACAAGAACCGCTATCTGATTCTGGATGTGTTGGGTCAGGGTACCTTCGGACAGGTTGTCAAGTGCCAGAATTTGAAGACACAGGAGGTTGTCGCAGTAAAGGTCATCAAGAACCGGACAGCATACTTCAACCAGAGTATGATGGAGGTGTCTGTGCTTGATCTGGTGAGTGTCCCATGACAAGCAAGTATAGGCAAGACTAACGTGACGCAGTTGAATAAACAAATGGACAAGAATGACGACCATCATCTTCTGCGACTCAAGGACACATTCATCCACAGGCAACATCTGTGTCTGGTGTTTGAGCTGTTGAGCGTCAATCTGTACGAGCTAATCAAACAAAACCAGTTCCGTGGATTGTCTACCACGCTGGTCCGCGTGTTCGCACAGCAGCTAATTAACGGTCTGGCATTGCTTGGGAAGGCGAAGCTGATACATTGCGACTTGAAGCCCGAGAACATTCTTCTGAAGAAGTAGGTAACCAATTTGGTGGTGATGTGCATACGCTGACCCAGTGATAGCCTTGAGAGTCCAATCATCAAGATCATCGACTTCGGCTCCGCATGCGACGAACGTCAGACTGTGTACACGTACATCCAATCGCGATTCTACCGATCCCCCGAAGTCCTGCTGGGTCTACCATACTCGGCGGCAATTGACATGTGGTCACTGGGTTGCATTGTAGTCGAGTTGTTCCTCGGCTTACCTCTATTTCCTGGCTCGTCTGAGTACAACCAAGTGTCAAGGATAACAGAGATGCTTGGGCTGCCCCCTCATTGGATGCTCGAAATGGGCAAGCAGTCAGGCGAATTCTACGAAAAGTCACAGGATGAGTACGGTCGTAAGCAGTACCGACTCAAGTCGATGGACCAGTATTCACGGGAGCACGGCACAAAGGAACAACCCAGCAAGAAATATTTCTCTGCTACGACCCTGCCAGACATTATCAAAAACTACCCCATGCCGCGGAAGAACATGAAACCCAACGAGATCGAGCGAGGTAAGCAAGCACATCAACCAAGTTGCTGTCACAACTAACGATTGATAGAAATGTCCAACCGAGCCGCCTTCATCGACTTTGCTCAAGGACTGCTGAACCTCAACCCTCTAGAACGTTGGACCCCTGCACAAGCCAAGTTGCATCCTTTCATCACTCAGGCCAAGTTCACTGGGCCGTTCGTACCCCCAATGACTCTCAAGTCCGGCTCGAGCAGATCCCCAGCACCTGGCGTTCAGGAGCAACAGCGATATGAGGGCATGAGCAGACAGCGTCAGCAGCAACAACAGCAGGCCGTTGCGCAGCAGCAACAAGCCCAAGCGGCCCAACACGCTGCGTATGCGAACATGCAGATGAACCAGTACGCCGCTGCACAAAGTCCGCAGGCTCAGCAAAATCCCTACAACATGTACCCTCCAAACCATCAGGGCGCCCCTCCGCCTTACCCTGCTCAAGCAGCACAATATGGCCAGCCGATGAATATGATGCAGCCACAACAGCCGCGGCAGTACAACCAGCCTCAGAACCTGTATGCCCAAGCTACGACCCGCGCAGGACGGCAACGAGCAACCACGATGGATCAGCAGCAGTCGGGACAATCAGGGATCCCACCCGCGCTCCAGAGGGTCATGAGTCATCTGGATCCAAATGCGCCCGTCCGTTTGCAACCGTCACCAGCATACTACCCGCCGCCGCCTGATGGCGCCCCTGAAAGCGCGAGCAGTGCCGCTAGGAGAAGAGGGTCGCGAGCAGGCAACTCGAACCGTAACCAGAACTTTGTACGAAATTTGGAAGACCGGACTCTTGAAGAAGGTTTCATGGGTCAGAATCATTGGCAGTGAGGGGACGGCTCCAATGAGTAGTTCTCATATCACGAAAACAACGCTTTGCACGGCGTGGAGATCCGATGGTGGATGAGTCGCGGCGTTCTGAGTTCTCCTTGATGCCCATTTTCCTCATGGTGCTTCCGTCAGTATCGTCGTTTGAGACATGGATAAGCAACATCATGCTACCAACGGGTGGAGCCAAACTCGGATGACCGCGCAGGCCGCATATCGTTCATACGGTCTGCTCAAATCGTAGTATGCCCTGTTGATACTCAGCGCCTTCACCTGGCTTTAGACGGGGCTCTCTGCTGTGTCAGATTGATGACTCTACGACATGCGCTGTGATTCGTCGAGCGAGGTAAGCTGGACCTTGATTGGATGATACAGAGCAGGACGGATCAGATGCATGTTCAACAGCATGACTGGTGTCGCCAGATGTCGAGCCATGACTCAAAAGCGCTCAGCAATCGGGGCAGTGGTGTATGGCAGCACGTGTACTTTTAGAAGCATTCTCATAAACCCTTTGGCTGTGTTTTCGTAGCCACGAATATGCGCGTTGAGCTTTTATCATTATGGCTTGTGTGACAGAGATGTCAAAAGTGAGATGAAATCGGACTGGGACAAGCTTGAAGTACGTAGTTCGGCCAAGGACGAAAATTAAGTCAATAGATATTGGGAACTCTCAGTGAATGCCTGGTGAGCATTGATCATTGCATCATCTCAACATGGAACTGGCGTTGGCGCACCTCAGTGGTAGCGTGCGACTGGGGTGAATGTGTTCGCGTCTGTTTAGGGTTAGGCGCGGGGCACACAGTCATGGCTTGGCGCCTGCTCGAAATTCGGTTGCGGAAAGTTCAAACAAGGCGGCAGTAACTCTGGTCAACCCACACCGGCGCCTGCCACATATATTGCCTCCGACCCCTCCGGCAAATCCCAACTCTCGAGAACCGCAATCATGGCGTCCCGTTTCTTTGCCGCCAGCGACAGCTCCTCGGAAGAGTCCAGCGAGGAGGAACTCTACTCCAACGACGAGGAGTCTGAACAGGAAGACAGCGACAAGGATTCCGATGATGAGTCCGATGACGACGACTCCGACTCCGACTCGGGTTCGGAAACTGGTGCCAACCGCTTCTTGAAGGACGCTTCCAGCGACAGCGAGAGCGACGACGAGGATGTGAACAAGGTGCTGAAGAGTGCCAAGGACAAGCGCTTCGACGAGTTGGAGGCAACCATTAGGCTCATTGAGAATGCGCAAAAGATCAGCGACTGGGCTGTCATTTCCGAACGTATGTTCACTTCAGAAATAGCCCTGGAGGGCGGCATGAGCCATGGTGGCGGGGTACACGAACATTGCTAACATTATGGTTATACAGAGTTCGACAAGCTCATCCGCCAGGTGCCAACCCTTACCAAGCAGAACGATGGCAAGATCCCCAAGCTCTACATTCAGGCCGTCGCCGACCTCGAGACGGCTGTAGTTGAGACACACGAGAAGCAGAAGGTCACTCCCAAGAAGATGAACGCTGTCAACGGTCGTGGGTTCAACGCTGTCCGTCAAAAGATCAAGAAGCACAACCGCGACTACGAGAAGGACATCAACGCATACCGGGAGAACAAGGAGGAATTCATGCGCGAGGAGGAGGAGATTGTTCAGGCACCCAAGGAAAAGAAGAAGAAGAACAAGATCCCTCAACTCGGTACCGACGTCGTTGAGGAGGCGACCGACGATGGCTTCATCACAGTCGGAGCTGGTGGCAAGGCTGTCCTATACACCGCTGAGGGTATCCTCAAACACTTGCGTGCTATTGTCGAGCAGCGCGGTCGCAAGAACTCGGACAAGTTGGAGCACATCCGGACACTGGAGAAGTTGTTCGACGTAGCCGTCAACGACTACCAGAAGGTCCGCGTTCTCTTGACCCTTATCTCGACGCGCTTCGATTTGACCTCCGGTACTGCCAGCCACATGCATCAGGAGCAGTGGAAGCTGTGAGTATTTCCGACCCGTTACATGGCCGCTAATTGCTAACAATGCCTAGTGCGGACCAAGAATTCGGAAAGCTCCTCCAGATCCTCGAGGACAGCAATGAGATTGTTGTCATTGAGAACGCCGAGGAGTGGGAGGACGACGAGAAGCTGCCCACTATCACACCTGGCGAGATCTTCCGCATCCCAGGAAGCATCGTTTCCTTTGTTGAGAGGCTCGACGACGAACTTACTCGCTCGCTGCAGCACATCGACCCACACACTTCCGAGTACATCGAACGGTTGACCGACGAGGCCCTTCTGTACGCTCAGCTCGTACGCACATTGGTATACGTTGAGAGCATGAAGAAGAACCCAAACCTAGAACTTCCACAAGAACCACTGAACCGCATCGTTATGCGGAGATTGGAACACGTCTACTTCAAGGTATGCGAATGTTCTACCCTTTTGTATCCGTTCATGCTAACATGCACAGCCCTCGCAAGTCATCACGATCCTCGAGAACAACGTTTGGAAGGCAATTCCAGAGAGCCTTGATTCTGAGATTACCCCCCGCGCCATCTCCAACGACACCGCTTCTCTCGTACAAACCCTATGCACATACCTGTTCCAGAACAGCGAGGGCATCATTCGCGCTCGCGCCATGTTGTGCCAGATTTACTTCTTGTCTCTTCACGACCAGTACTACAAGGCTCGCGACATGATGCTCATGTCTCACTTGCAAGAGACTATCAGCAACTTCGACGTCAACACACAAATCTTGTTCAACCGTGCGCTGGTTCAGGTCGGCCTTTGCGCTTTCCGCGCCGGTCTCGTCTACGAAGCACAAACTTCGCTACAAGAGATCTGCGGTAGCAACAGGCAAAAGGAGTTGCTCGCACAAGGTCTGCAGATGCAGCGGTACTCCCAGATCTCGCCCGAGCAAGAGCGTCTTGAGCGTCAACGACAACTTCCCTTCCACATGCACATCAACCTTGAGCTGCTAGAGTGCGTCTACTTGACTTGCTCTATGTTGCTTGAGATTCCTCTCCTCGCACAACTCGGCTCATCACCAGACCTCAGGAAGCGGGTGATCAGCAAGACCTACCGCCGTCTCTTAGAGTACCATGAGCGCCAGATCTTCACTGGACCGCCTGAGAACACCCGTGACCACGTCATGCAAGCCTCGAAGGCACTGTCTGCTGGTGAATGGAAGAAGGCAGCCGAGTTCATCAACTCGATCAAGATCTGGGAGCTGATGGCCGATTCGGAGAAGATCAAGGAAATGCTGTCCTCGCAAATCCAAGAGGAGGGTCTCCGCACTTACCTCTTCACGTACGCACCTTTCTACGACACACTCTCCATTTCCACTCTAGCGGGTATGTTTGAGTTGTCAGAGCGCAAGGTTTCGGCGGTCGTCTCAAAGATGATCTCACACGAGGAACTCGCCGCTGCTCTCGACCAGGTCAACTCGGCCATCATCTTCAGGAAGGGTGTTGAGCTGTCAAGACTCCAGACGCTCGCACTGAGCTTATCAGACAAGGCGTCAGGCCTCATCGAGTCGAATGAGAAGACACTGGAGCAACGCACACAAGGTACCGCCAATGCCTTTGAGAGGCAAGGTGGACGTGGTAACCGCGGTGGCCGAGGAGGCGGCCGTGGCGGTGGTGGTCGTGGAGGAGGCGGACCAAGGGGAGGAAGGAATCAGCAGTTCACTGGTGGTGCTTTGGGACGTGCCATCCAGGCTTAGACGTACATCTCGTCTTCTGGGAGGCAACATGGGCGGCGAATACGGTTTTTGTCGGGCTGCACCTTTTGGTAGTTCCGTGGTAATGCGAATGCTTTTCAGCTAGATCATGAGTGAGAACGCAGGAATGAAAAAGTACATGGTCATATGTTCGTGTCGACCACAGCTATCATCTGGGTTCCGAGTTTTGGTTCTACGATTACCCTATGGTGCTTTTGCTTAGAATACTTGGACTTTTGAGGGAGGAGACCATACTGCCGTAGTTTTAGCACCTAAGAATGATTAAATCGATGAAGAGTAGTTCAAAACTACGTCTACTTGTCAACCAAGGGAGTGACCTTCACCGCAATAAATATCCAGATAGTCACAATGCTCGCGCGGCGTCAGCCTCGTGAGTGCAGGCAGTTTATCCTTTGATTCTACACTCCCTTTGCAAGGTTTGGATGTCGGACCTGTCGACACGAACGATGATATGCGTTTAGAACCAGCGAGTACGATAGATACAGTAATAGTATTAAAAAAAAAAAGAGACGAACATACTTGAAAGCATGAGAGGTACAGCATACGCAAGCAAGGCTTCCAAGATCATTTGTGTGTGGGGCATGAATTGACAAAAAAAGATGGGCGAGCCCGAAGACTCGTTACTCAGCTGTGGACGGATGGATGATCGAAATCCAGACCTCCTGCAATTTTGCCCAATTAAGATGCAAAGCAGGCGCTCTACCACTGAGCTATACGCCCTGGTGATTTGATTATGGATATTTTGAAATTTACATCGTCAATAGTGACGGTGTTGTGGACAAAAATGCCATGGTGGGTTGCCGAAAGGTTGCCGAATGCCGTCTGCACTGTGGGTTCTCCCCACAGAATCGACCCATTCGTTAGCTATCTTGAGCACTGAAGAACGATGCAAGAGCCTCTAGAAACCCAATAGACGAAATCAAGGGACACAGAGTTGTCCATGCCGTGAGATTTGTTGTTGCTGTTGTCAATCGACTTCCCAGCGGACTTGCCCTTAGGCCAGGGGAAACGACGGAGTTACCGGCCCGCCAAGACCCTGTCGATCCATCGCTCTGCGACACGCGACTTGGGAACTTTTGGAGGAGACTGAAGACACAATTGCATGGCAGCCGCAATTGCCTCACACTGGTGAATGATGAAGTTCCGGATAGCTACAGCATGGCACACCCTCGCTGTTCTGCTTCTGCTGGGTGGAACAGCGCAGGCGTCTTTGGGCGACAGATTGCCTGATTTCAAGGACTGTGTACAGGTACGTGTAGATGGGAGTCGGTTTCTCGACCAGAAGAGCATGTGTGACTAACAACATGTCCACAGGTCTGTAAAGAAGCCAACTGCGGCCCAGATGGCACGTCGATACGTATGCTACCCATATCTGTTCCCAATTCCCAGTCTCATGCGTAGTACTGACAACTCGCGCAGCCTTCCACCGCCGACTCCTTCTCTGGGACTGTCCCTCGGAATGCGATTACACATGCCAACACATTGTAACTGCCCAACGCCTCGCCCGCGACCCTCCATACATGCAGCCCATCTACCAATTCCACGGAAAATGGCCTTTCTACCGCTTCATGGGCATGCAAGAGCCATTCAGCGTCATCTTCTCCCTCTTCAACTACCTTGCGCACGATTGGGGCATGTCGCAGCTCCGCGACAAGATTCCCGCCTCGTATCCGCTGCGGAAATACTACCTGTGGTTTGGATACGTGGGTCTGGCGAGCTGGACGTTCAGCATGATCTTCCACACCAGGGACTTTGGGCTTACGGAGAAGCTGGATTACTTCGCGGCTGGCGCGAATGTCCTATATGGGCTGTATTACGCGCCCATTAGGGTGTTCAGACTGGACAGGAAGGAGCCAAGGAAACAGAGCTTGCTGAGGCTCTGGACGGGGCTTTGTATCACCTTGTATACGCTTCACGTCCTGTACCTCTCGCTCTGGTCTTGGGATTATACGTACAATATGGCTGCCAATGTTGCCGTTGGCGTCGTAGCCAACTTGCTCTGGAGTGGCTTCAGTTACGTCCAGTACCAGAAGATTGGGAGGACATGGGCTGTCTGGCCTGGTCTGTGTGTTGCCTGGATCATCTTGGCTATGAGTCTAGAGTTGTTGGATTTCCCGCCTTGGAAGGGTATGATTGATGCACATAGCCTGTGGCATCTGGGCACAGTTCTGCCGACTGTTTTGTGGTACAAGTAAGTTGAATGATCATGTCGTATTCTGTAGGTAACTAGTGCTAACGATTCCCCAAGCTTCCTCGTCAGAGACGCTCAGGAAGACATTGCAGGTACGCGGCTCAAGGACTGAACGACGCAATCGCTCTCCGAAGAGACCACCATCTGCCCGTTGTGTACGGCTCCATCGCTTACCATTTTCGTCTCCAGGAAAACTGCCCACTGCTGGTTATGGTGCTGGTGCTGGTGCTTGGAAGGACAAGAACTAGTACCGTTCTCAGACGCTGAGTTGGATAACGTCTATGATTTTGTGCATTCGCATAACACGATATCATAGAGACGTGTCAAGTACTATAGGATGATGCCATAAACCGAGCAATACATTCAAACTACCAGATTGGACTACTGTGTTTGTATGAAAGGTATCACGTCCCAGACGCCTGACACCAATCCTCAATAGGATGCGAGTAAAAAAACACAAATGGCAAACGACCGTAAGCAGATCATCAAGTCCGTCGCCACACCCCATGCTCATTCATCTGGAATACTCAAAGACCCCTTTGTCCACTCACCCCCATTCAGGCCCCTCGTAAATGCCGTGATATCATCACCCGCCGTCTGAAAGAAGACATAAAGACTGTCCCACAACGTTTCCTCTCCACGCTTCTCAGCAAATGCTGTAACAGTGAGATGCGTGCCGCCAAGTCCTACCACGGAGTTTGATATATCAGTAACCGTGAATGTTTCGTCTTCGATGTACGTTGTGTTTTCAGCATTGTACGTGATGTTGAACCCCTTGATACTTCGATCCGCCATCTGCGCGTAAAAGTACGTTGTGTAGCCAAGAGACGTGATGGGGTACACATCCTTGATGGCGCCCATGCTGGCGTTTTGCCAGGAGTTGATGGGGCGTGTCGGCGTGGATGGAGCGGATTGGTTGGTGTCTTTCCACCAAAACTCCACATCGTTGTCCTTGTTGTTCAGCATGGCGTACGATGTGGTGCCTGCACCCCAACTGTAGCAGCCTACGCCGGCATGTCCGTTGAACCCGGACCATGGTTCGATTTTCGCCCATGTATCGTCTTGGCCGCTGTACCAGGCGTACTGAAGGAAGGTGGAGTCATCGGTAGCGAACCAGATGTTCTGTAGCGATGGTAATGCGGTCAGTGTATGCTTCGAGGATAGCTTTTACTTCTGAAACTTACCATGCCTGTTTGTCCCTCGAATTGCTCTGTATTATTGAGACCTGAAGCTGTGGGAAACTTCGTATAGTCGTTATCACCGTAGAAGTTTCCCTTGTAGCAAGCTTGCAAGCCAGTAGTCGGTGAGTCGAAGGCTTTGAGGTTGAGGTCGCTGAGTGGTCCTGGCTGCCAGATGTCGCTTGTGTTGGACTGGATCAGTTGCTTGACAGTGTTGTTCTTATCGATGTAGAAGATGTGGAACTATTCAAAGTTAGGATGTTGCTCGAGAGTGGGGAGCTGGCCAGTTCTGGCGCGCGACAAGACTGCTCGATGATACTCACATATTGGGTCTCATTAAGGGCAAAAGCGACTGCGGATATAGGTGATGCGTCTTTTGCATCACCAGCAACGGTCTGGGCTTTGCCTCCACCAATCCACTTTCTGTCCGTGGTATACTGCATAAATCTGATGTCGCCTGTATGGTGCTGGAAGTAAAGCGTGAAGATTCGTCGTTGGCCTTTGTTCCAAGACTCTCCAGCTAGAGCGATACCTGTACCATCTGCGACGCGGTAGGTATCAAATCAGCGTTTGTTCAAATTTGTATGGTGAGCAACAACTTACTGAAGACGCCCTTTTTCGACAGGTACTCGGAATTGAGAGAGCCACCAATACATGACTCAGGATTCTCGCGACAGAAGGGATGAACTGTGCCCTCATCTCTGTATAGTTTAGGCGCCTTGTGTATGAGATAGGATACGTGTATTGGAAACTTACGAGTCGTCCTTGTTTAATCCTAATCCCAGACCGAGTCCTAAAGCGAGAGCAATAATCGCAATGACAATAACGCCGATGAGAATAAAGAACGTCCGCTTCTTCATGCCGCATTTCCGATCATCTTTCGGTGGCACGGGCGGAGGAGCAGCTTCATGATTGTCGTATGGGTCGACATGTTCCTTGAATCCATATGGCCGAATGTGGGGAGAGGTAAGGGTGGTGCCTCCATGTGATGAGGGTGACATTGGTCGACCCCCATGAGGGTAATGACTGAACTGGCCTGGGACTCTAGATGTTGGTGTGAGAGATCAGTACATGTATCATAAACAGTTCAAGCAGGGGTACTTACACTTCAGGACCCTCAAAATCCGGAGTAGGTTTGCCGATCGGAGCAACTGTGCCGTATGGTGTCTCTTTCTCCGTTGAGTAACTGTTGAAGGGTCAGATTACGAGGCTAGGTAAAGAGACGGCTTGGTTTTGTGCGATGAATCTGTTGATAAAGCGAAAGCGACATACCCCTGTTGATAGGTTTCATAGTTTTGTGGTTGGGGATGTTGATGATACTCATGTTCATACGGTAGAGGTGGGGATACTGCTGGTGGAGAGTTCGGGTTAGAGTAGGTATGAGGTGAACCATCCGCTGCATATATCTGATCGAGCTCTCGGAATCCTGGTGGAGGAGGGCTCCATTGACTATCGGTGTAACTCCGAGGACTGCTCATATCGTCGTGGTGTTGGTCATGGTGATCCATCTTGTTCAATGGAAGAGTCTAGGTATGAAGGGTGGGTCGGAATCTGAACGGAGGGATCCAAGTCCTTGAGCCTGGTATAGGCCCAATGCGGCTGCGCCTCAAAAGAATGTGGGAAACGAACTTTGAAGGGTAGGGACAGGGTAGCGTGCACGCCTGAGTGCGCCCGTATACTTCTGGACTATGGATCATCTGCATTTACGCTAATGCCTGCTTCCTGCACCATAGTAAGCACAGCAGTTAATATGTAGCCATGAAGAGAACCAATCGGAATTCATAAGGCGTTCTGTCAGCATCGCTGTAACCGGATGATGTTGGGCGACGGCGCTGTCATCCGTTGCGTACTAGGTAGCTATACTTCGATCAGCTGCATACATAGTAGGCAAGAAACCCAGTATGCTATGCATTTCGACAGCTGAAGATCTACCGTGAGCGCATCATGGCCTAAGGACTGGAAGGAATATGCGATTGCCCGATAATGGTCGCGCGACACAACTTCATCGTATGATACAGCCAACCTTTAGGTGTCCAGCGCAATATTATGGTATTCCCATCAGAAGTACAGTATTGTGGCTTTTCCTGGAAGCTCAGCTGCATGTGGCCTTAGGCCAGGGCTGAGAGCTGAACTAATATTAGGTTGGTGATTCGCCGAGCCCAGTACTACTGCATGCACTTTCTCTTAGCCCGGAGATGCCGAGCGCATATCAGCTGGAGAAGATAAGCCCTGCTTGCTCGTTGATATACGGTGTGGTGGGGTCGAGTAGTGATCTTCCTTTGAGGATGTAGCGAAGCGCGGGAGGCTTCCGACAACCCCGCAACTTTGACCCCGGAATCTGGAGTCACACTTGAGTAGCAATGGGGAGAGGACAGCGTACTCAAGCCGTGTACCTCGCTACAGCCTTTGCCAATATAACCATTGCAAGTCGCCTCACTTGTCAACTCGCAAGATCATTCTGTGACTGGCTTGGATTCATAGACATGGATAAGCCGCGTTCCAGCGACTGCAAAGTTCGCGCTCGAACCGTGTCTCGAGCTGAGCTCATCTTTGCAGATTTAGGTTCCACAAGGCGTAGTGGCTCATTAATGGTCCGCAGCTTACCGGTAAGCGCACAATACCTAGAATTGGGGTCCAAACGGTGCCGATCCTGTTAACGAAGAGATTGCCTAGGTATCGGCAATGTACGACAGCATTTGCGCACGAAAAGCAAATACGATGCATTCCGCTCTATGCAGGGAGACCCAAACAGAAGCCGACAAATCTTCGACTCTGGGATTTGCGATAAAATGTGATAGAATAAAACTAAATGTGTTGGGTTAACATAGACTTCAAGCTTATTTACATGTATGTATGGACGATGGCTATGTAAATGCTGTGATACGCTGCAGATTAGTGAATAAGCTGAGTGTACCTGTTTGGTTCTCCATCATATGCAGTGCTACGAAGGAACTGCGCGGCTTGATAGACACCAATGCAACAACCCGGGGGCTCAGAAAGGATCCTGCAACCAAAGCAGATGACATTGAAAGATGATGTTGAAAGAAGACTGAAGGGTTGACATGGTAAGGGCCGATAGTGTCTGTTCGAGTTAGTATGGAAGGAGTCTCCCGATGCGCGCTGGTTGATGTTGATGCACTCTGTAAGAGCTTACGATCCGATCGTGAGCAGGCGCCAGGAACGCTCTTTCTGTCACACAATTTAGTGCGCACAGCATGTCTCTACGTTGAGTTAGCCCCTAAGTTCACTTGATTCTGATGTTCTGCCCTATCAACCGGACAATCCCTGTGTTGCTCCAGTGAAACCCTCAAGTATCCGAACATGATCATGAAAAGTCGCCGACAACCGTGAAGACGGAGACTTATGCAAATTCGAGGAACGTCAAAGGGGTACTCATCAACAAGTATTCTCAACCGATTCCGTATAAAATGTGCTTCACGGGCATGTAGCGAGGCGCAGATTAATGCAGTATTGTATGATAAAGCATTTCTAGAGAGGATGACCTCCCTGCCCCAGGAACCCGAGATAGGGTACGCAATATCACTCAAAGAAGCTGCAGTGCTGTAGAGCTAACAGTGCAACAGACAAGTATCAGACTGGTTCGAAGAGCGCCCGATCAACAAGGCCAATCGCCAGAAGCTCGCCCAGATGATACGCGATAGTTTTCTTCGCCGGCATCGACTGGGCTAAACTTTCCGGTAGCATAGAGGTGGTTAGGGAAGTTCGGATGCTAGATTACGCATGTGGACCTGGATTTCTCAGCAACGTGTGTGAAATTGGAGTGCAAGTGAGGGTTTCTCTGTTGACTATGTGATCAGATCTTCGGGCCGTACGTGTCTTCGATCCATGCAGTCGATGCGTCTTCTGCCATGATTGAGAGGTACAGAAACAATATGAACGAGTTCGGTCCTGGCCGCGAAAAGATTGCAGCCATTGTCGGAAACTTGTTGTTGGAGCCACCTGAACGCGCTCTTTTGGCTGATGAAGAATATCAGAATTTTAATCTCATCACAGTCGGGTCAGCTCTGCACCACTTTCCATCTGCGGAAGATGCTGTTCGACTTTTGGATGGGCGGTTGAAGCCTGGTGGGGTGTTGTTCATCCAGGATCTGTATAGCCATTTGAGCAGCGAAGCTGTTCAGCAGTCAGGCCAAGTCAAACCCCCGCAATACAAAGAGGGCGAGATGAAAAAGCTCATGGAAAAGGCTGGGCTGGGCGATTTCAAATTTGAGATTTTACAGGAAAATCTCGAGATTGAGCTGCCGAGCGAAGAGGTATGCCAGGTGCAGTGTTTCATTGCCAGAGCAGCGAGGCCGTTGAGCTAGTCGTGGGACAGTGTTGGAAAATGGGCGTCATGGTGGCAGTTTCGCAAACCGGTATTACGTGAAACCTTATTTTGTTTTTTGTTTGCTTTGTGAAGAGTCGGCTGAGATGTGTGAAGTAAAATGAGTGGCTGAAATCATGGCACAGCCACAGCGTCCCCTAAATGAGTCAGGGTCATGACGCAGGACTGCCCGCACCATCGAAGCCCAGCCCACGAAAGCTCTTTGACCCTTTCACACCTAAACGGACCTACACCCCTACCCACACTGAAGACGCGATACCACTCGCGATCGACAGTGAAGCCCGACAGAAGACCCTCGCACCCGCCTCATTTATAGCAGACGCGTCTGCCCCGCCTGCTCCAGGGACGCCGCCTCCCCCACATTAGCATCCGACGCCGGCCCAAATCAACGGCGGCGACACCCTCCCAACATTCACACAAACACGAGCCGCGATAGGAATGGATTATATCTGCCCGAAAATCATGGCTTTTTTCTGGTACTCAAATCTCCCTAAGATTGCCAAGTTGGGCGAAGCCGTCAGCACCCGTCACCGCGTTTGAACGCGATACCGGGACTCCGAATATTTCTACACGAATAAAATTCTACTGGCGAGAAGGGCAAACGTCCAAAAAAGACGTTTGACGCGGAAACGTAGCGACCGTCGCCTTCACAAGTCTTGATCTGTGACAAAGGGCGTCTGCGCGATCCGAAACACTCTTCGCATACCCGCCGTTTACAGCGCGTGCACAACCATCACGACAGTGCCCGCAGCAGTAGCCGAATAGAAGCTCTTCGAAGGCATATCCGCGCTTCCAGGAGTTTTTCCGGTACCAGTGATCACATTCTCCGCAAACGAACCGCTCAACCGTGGTTGTCGCACACGCGTGACTTTGTTCGCCGGCCACGTCCTTCATCTACCGGACGAGTCCTCGGGCACGTCCAGTTCTACATTGCGATTTACGCCCTCCGTGACATAATAACTGCAACCAAAGCCCTGCACCACACAAGCAGACACAAAACCCACCGCTACCATGAGTTGCACAAAGATACCGGCAAGCGTCATCATGCCGCCCAAGGAGCTGAAGCAATACAAGCGATGGCAGTGCTTGCACACCAACGTTAGACCAGCTGAGCAAGGCTACATTCCTTCAGCACACGAATACGAAGACTTCCACCAGTGGCTGAAACGACAAGACTCAGGATACTTCTCGGACATATTCGATGATATCACTGGTCACATCTCAGATAGTCGTTCCGAATCAACGTCATCTTCGTTCGACTCGCCAGTTGCATCGATATGTCAGCATGCAATGCACCCCGTAGCAGCGGACCAGCCACAACCACGATGTCCCGTCTGTACTATTGAGTTGCACGTCAGATACATGAACGTTCTGACTGAAGCTCTCAAAAGTGCTGGTGGTCACGCGCCCTCTTGTACACTCACCAGTTCTGAGCACCAAGACACAGTCTATAGCGCCTGGTGCAAGGGGAAGATTAGCACACTCAAGGAGCTGTCGAGGCTGGAGGCCATGGCTGAAGAAGAGGCTGCATGGTCCACACAGCACCCAGAGGCAAGACACGAAGAGACGCAAACCGCAGCAAAGGCGGTGGAGCTGTACTGGTCAGAAACAACAGGGTGCTTGGAAAAGCTACCGCGCACTAAAAAGCAAGCGACAGTAGTCTTTGCTCAAGATACTGATTTCGCGCCTGGACGACCAAACCCTTACTTCCACCGGCGATCTCCTCGATACGAGCCTGGGAAATATACAGTTGTGGCACTGGAGGAACAGGACGAGGATCAGATCTCGGAAGATTCGGAAGACTACTCCCAGGTTAAGGTCTATCATGTTGGTGAAACAGAAGAGTCAGTCGACGAGAGTCACATTTCTAAAGACGAGGAGTCACAATTGGCTCTTGACTCAATCAATGAGATCGAAGATGACGACGGAGATAGTGACTGGGAGGATCTTGATTCTGACGAAGAAAGCTCTGAATATGGTGACGAATATGGTGACGGTGATGGAATTTACTTCGAGATCGAGGAAGAGGCGAGCTTTATCGTCTTTGGCGATGACTGAGCTGATTCACAGCGGTTCGATACACATTTACTATCACATGACTACCACACGCAGTGCGCCGCATACCATGAAGCGATGAGCACAAAGCGTACAGATACAAATGAGGGAAGACACGCTGCACAGACGTGAAGAACGGCGTTCGATGAAGAAAGAGGCAAAGGATATAAGCGGATACCAAACAATGGTTGGCAGATGCCGATTCGCGGCGCGATGGTGAAGAGGAGTAACAGACTTCATAGCACGTATACGAGTGATCGAAGCGACACTCATGCATCATCGATGACAGTAATCTACTATCTTCACACGTGCACGTTCATCTCCATAATTCTCGTCGTTATTCTCGAATCATCGTTACATGGAACTCTTACATATCCTTTCATCATCGCGACATCGTGCCCGCCTCGTCACTTAAAGACATTATGGCCTTGTACTTGCCCCAGTTCATCTCCACTGCTACTGAGATCCAAGACTGGGCCGATGAACTCGCGTTCTGGTTCCATCTCAATGGCTTGCATGAGAGGGCCTACAAATTCTGGAAATGCGCTTTTTGGTACCGTAGAACCTCCTCCTCAGCCCACGATGCCGAGTGGTGTCACAACCTTGAACTCATCGGCCTCAAACTCCAGATGAAAGGCCGATGGAAGGAAGCTGAAGATCATTTCCGCGAAGCACTTGATTACAAAGAAGCAACCCTCTCTCACGACGATAGAAAAGTATACGAAACTCTTATGAGAATCGCGAGAATACTGGTTGTTCAGCGCAGATTTGAAGACGCGGAGTCGTATTTCCGGCGGGCACTGGAAGGATACACACGTATTCTCTCAAAGACACATCACGAGGTATTGCAAGTTACTAGTGAGTTTGCGTATAGCCTAGCATGTCAAGACATACCTCGTGCAGTCAAAGAGGCAGAAAGTTTAGTGAAAGACATACTAAAGACAAGAGAAAGGATTCTTGGAAAGATGCATCAGCAAACAGTTGAGAGTGTGTGGATGTTGGGCTTTGTGATGGAGAAGGCTGGACAGAAAGGGACTGCGAAATATTTCTATGAGAGAGCTTATGAGGAGGGGTGTAATCTTCTGGGGAAGGAGCATGTGGATGTTAGGAATTACGAGGTAGACTGCGATAGGCTGAATTGGGAGGATGGTGAACTAGTGCAATATTTGACCTTTTGAGCTGTATCTAGAGTACGTGTGTGCCCTACTATGCCTTCTCTTTGCCCTTTCCATATGCGTCTACAACAGGCGCTTCAGGCACTTCCACTCCCTCTATCTTCCACTTCATACCTGGATATGAATCGCTTAGTACGGCAATGTCCACCTTTTTACCCTGCGCCTCGGGTGGTAGCGAGACCTTAGTAGAAGCCTGCAGTCTGGAGTGTGCGCCTCCAGATGCATTTGCGCTGCGTCCACCTCGTCCCTGTCCGCCATTCCTGTTAGGGTCAGGCCAATTGACGCGTTTCAAAGCAATGATCTCGTCAGTACTGGAGTACGAGATGATGGCGAAGAAGCCTTCTGTTTGCGGCTTCGGGTATCGTGGAGCAAAAATGCGTATGCCACCTTGTTGTATTCTAGCTGGATTCTGGCGTGAGATCCTGAAGTCCAAACCGAGCGCATTGACGTTGCCTAGATCGAGCTTCAAGACAGGTAATCGAGACATGGGCTCCATGAACCTCTTGATGCCAGTGTGTGGGACACCAGCGAACTTGGCTGCCCGTTCAAGCACTGCGGAAGATGCAGTGGTTGTCTCAATCAGGGTCTTTGGACTAGCTTTGGGATGTTCGAGACGTTTCTTCTCCTTGTCGACTTCCACACCTGCAAAAATCGATAGTGGCCCATCGGTCGGCCAGCGAGCAGTCTTGATAGCCTGAAGGATCGAGATCATCGTCTCACATGAAGAGAGGTAGCCAAGCTCGGTGAGTACATCGATCGATGCCTGTACGATACGGATGCTCTGGTCCAAGACACTATTTAAATCACCGACATAATCTGAGATTGGCAAGTCGATGCGCGAGAAGTGGGCTTGCAGGAGCAAGAACGACTTGACGTGCGGATCCCACATGGGTAGACCAAAATCGTCCGCAGGAATCGGGAGAGCTTTCGACAGCTCAGCATTAATGAGGTCCTCGTTGTGGCGGACAGGTAGCTCGTCATATTCAGTCGCGTGTGAAATCCACGACAAAGCATCCGAGAAGGTTGCGTCACGCTTGACGTTCTTTACAAGGTAGCGGATTGTCTTGTGGCTGAGATAGTAGTAACTCATGATCTTGCCGAGTGGAGTTGGGTCTACTTCGCCTGTTGGCTCCACGACCGCGCAAGACGACTCGTCTAGTTCACTGAGAGAAGTCTCGACCAGCTCTACCATATAGTCGTTGGCCAAGGATTGCGCGGCTATTGTGTTGTGCTCTTCAGCCGAGATTTCGAGTCCATAGAAGGATGGGTTCTTATGTAGACGACGGAAGAAAAATGTCCAAGTCAGATAGTCCAATGCGTCTTGCTTTGTGGCAATGGTACCGGCAGAAATCTCGGCGCCCAAATGATTATCAAGCACCTTGTGCAGCGACGACTCGACGGGAAATCCAGTATGCAGGAAGTGCTTGTAGAACTCCTTCTTTGCATCTTGCGTGAAGATGCGGGCGATACCGGAATCGTCGAACTGAGGACGGCCAGCACGACCCAACATTTGCAGCACATCTGTCAGATCCATATCTTTGTATCCTTCGGTTTTGGCGTCGAAGAACTGCGTGCCTTTGACAACAACAAGATGGGCAGGTAAATTCACACCCCAAGCAAGTGTACTGGTCGCGACGAGGATCTGGATCTTGTTGTTCGCAAAGAGCTCTTCTGACAGGGATCGATCAGTCTCGACAAGACCAGCGTGATGCAGACCAATACCAAAGCTCAGCGCCTCTCGCAGTGAGTCGTCTTTGACTCTATCGAGATTAACGGCCAGGTCGTCTTCAGACATGTGCAAGAAGCGCCTCGGGTTGTCTTCCATACCGCAGAAGTTGATGAGATCACGAGCTGTCAGACGAGTCTGGCGACGCGAAGCTACGAAAACAATGACTGGCTTTTCTGGCGAGTGCGCTTTGATCGCAAGGAAAGTAGGTCTGTTCATCGACTGCATAAGCGGACAAAAGCCCCGCTGTTGGGGGAAGCCGTCGATGAAGATTTCTAAGGGCACCGGGCGAACAGAATGCCGGAAATTGAACAAGCCCTCTTTGACACCCAGCCAATTTCCAAGATCTGATGCGTTGGCGCAAGCTGTCGACATGCCCAACAGGCGGATAGAGCCATCCTTCTTTTGCGATGCGATGTAGTTCATACGGGAGACGATGATCTCCAGAATTGGACCACGATCTCCACCTAGGAGATGAATCTCGTCAATGATGACCAGACTGACTTGGCGAACATAACCTCGAGTCTGCCAACTACGACTAATACCGTCCCACTTCTCAGGGGTCGTGATGATGATATCGGCATCGCGGATTGTACGTGTGTCTGGTGTGTTGTCACCAGTCAATTCCACAAGCTTGAGACCCATTGGCCCGGCAAGTCGCTTGCCCCAATCTTGCACTCGTTCTCGGACAAGTGCCTTCATAGGTGCAATGTATACAACCTTTGAGCCTGGCTTTTCGCGGAACGCCCACCACATTGCAAGCTCAGCGGCAACAGTCTTTCCACTACCAGTCGGCGATCCAAGCAGAACATTGGCGGGTGTGTGATATAGACAGTGGAAAATTTGCGATTGCATAGGATTGAAGTACTGGAAGCGCTGTCCGTAAACTTCTTCCAACAAGGGGTTTTTCAACGCAGCGATTGGTAGAGGCTGGAGATTGAGCAGATCCGTGTAAACGCTTTCGGTATCAGGTCTGATGAGATGCTGGAAAGATATGGGATGAACCGTCTCTGCGCCCAGCCACCTATCAGACAAGACGCGAACGTATACTTGCGTAGGCAGAGGATCGGATAGAGGAATCGTGAAGTTGAGTTCGTGTTCATCGTACAGCTTCCTTCGTGAGAGGATGAAGAACTCGTGGTGGTAGATCTCAGATGTCTCGGAGTTCTCTACCCAAATCCAGAACGACTCGGAAGTACCATGGTGCCGATCATTCCAAACGAAATCGGGTGTAAGGAATAGTTGTATCCGTAGCACATCCCTGTTGAGCGGGGCGATCTCAGATTCGATGCTCAGAGTCGGGAAGTTGTTCATAAGCTTGGCGATCACGCCGCCCATCTTCTTATTATGCACCATATCTCCTATCTCCATCGCGTCCATATCGCGCAAAGTCTGTATTGACGGGTATTTATGGTCGAGCGCGCGCAGAACCGGTTGTGGAAGGTCATACTGATGCAGCGGATGCTGAAAAGACCAGCATCGATGTTCGATAGACTGACAAAGGCTAAGAAGTACCCGGCATTGGTAACCCCAACGCCGATTAAGCGCGATCATAAAAAGCGCACGCGCAATACGTGCAGCATTCTGGGTTATGTAATTTGTGTCCGAGGTTAGTGTGAAGTCTTCTAGTCGAGCTCGTGAAATATGAGCCTGGAGGAGATAGTTTGTCTTTCCGTGCGATGTAGCATATCCATCCTTGACTTCTGTGATGACATGTCCTTCTTCTTTAAGTGCTGAAAGTTCCTTCTCTTCGGATTCACGCGATTGCACCTGGTCGAATTCGCCGCTCATACTGACCATAGCCAAGGCATCCGCGTCCGTGCTACGAGGCCGCATCATGGTGTTGAAAATCTCTATACTAGACTGCTGAACGTAATACTGACTGGCGATGCGCCCGACGTCTTTCGCTCGAAGATCTTCGGTGGTCTCGTTGAAGATTATCATCTGGCTTCTCTGGAGAATTCGCGCAGCGTCGATGATAAGCTTGCGGCGTCGTCCTACGAGCTGTGGGTCATCGCGGATCTCTGACCATTCGATACCATACATTAGCGGGCTCTTCTGCATCCGTACGAACAGATACGAGTAACCAAGCCATGTTACAGCTTCAGACACTGTGGTTACTGTACCCAAAGAGATCTCAGCATTGAGATTGTCTATCAGTTTGGCGGAAAACCTTGACTCAATAGGCTGTTGTTCGGTCACAGCGCGCATGTAGTGATCAAGCCTGTCGTGTGTCGTACAAATGAAGCCAATACCAGTATCCTGAAACTGAGGTCGACCAGCACGACCGAAAATCTGCAGAACATCCAGAATACCAAGGTCGGTGAATTTGCCTTCCTGGGCGTTATAGACTTGAGTGCCCTTGATGAGGACTGCTGCAGCGGGTAAGTTGACACCCCACGCAAGCGTCGCTGTACAACAGAGCACCTTCAGCACACCCTCAGCAAAGAGACGCTCGATCATATTTCTGTCAGAACGAGGCATACCGGCGTGGTGAGTACCCATGCCTTTACCAAGCAGTTCACGTAGCTCTCGACCTTTTGACTGTTTCATGTCGCGCACAGCGTTCTCGTACCGAGGATGGTCTTGCGGGTCGAACAGGTCGGTACACTGCTCCTCCATAGCCATGTCGTACAAACGCCTAGCAGTCTTGACCGTATCTTTTCTCGAATGTACGAATACCATTATCTGGTGACCCAGCTTGAGCATCTCAACAACCTTGTCAAACGCGACCTTTTCCACATTTTCACGGGACTTTGCAGAACCCGGCTTGCCCTTTGCGCCGATGAAATGTTGCTCAAGAGGAACAGGGCGGAACGAAGCGTCAAAGTAAAACAGGCCAGCCATTTTGTTCACCCGCAAAAAGTCGGCTACGTCGACGTAGTTGGGAAGTGTGGCAGAGAGACCAACAATGCGGATCAGTGATTGAGTACTCTCGACTTGTCGTTGGGTACGTGCTACCAGACTCTCCAGAACTGCACCACGCTCGTCGTGCAACATGTGGACCTCATCGATGATGAGCAGTCGTACTTTCTGTACCAACTCGGTGTCTCCGGTACTTTTTCTTGTGACAACATCCCACTTCTCTGGTGTAGTGACTATAATTTGTGTATCCAAGATCTCAGCCTTGGTAAGATGCATATCACCAGTAAGTTCGCGAGCCTTGATACCCAACCACGCCAGACGCTTTCCAAGCTTCTCAGTAACCTCGGCAGCGAGCGCCTTCATCGGCGCGACGTAGATGATTTTGAAGTCTTCCGTCATTACAGTGAAGTCGGTGGCGTCCGGCTCGTCAATCGGGTTCGGCACAACGTTCTTGGCCACGGTGTTGAGAATTGTAAGCATGGCAGCGTCTGTTTTACCAGCACCAGTAGGTGCGCAAATCAGCATGTTCTCACTGGTCTTGTATGCAACTGGATACACAAGACTCTGCATCCGGTTAAGTGTCTTGTAGCCTTTGAAGGTGCGCTGGCAAAGGCCATCCAGTTCCTGGATCTCCAGCAGCTTTCGGCCTACGCCAACAGTGCCTACAGCTACTGCAGGAATCTCGTATTCTTCGTAGAGGTTGTTATCGCGGTGCACAGTGTCTGGAGGTAGCGCGTACTTCTTGCCATAAGCTGAGAGCTTGTTGCCAGCTTCGTGAGTCCGGTACACGTGAGGATATTGCGGTCCCGTTCGGTCCATAGCAGGCGCCAATGCAGCTGTCTTGTGCTCCCAGTCTGCTCGGCGCAACGCTTCTTCACGTTCGGCTCGAGTCTGTAAACGGCCCATGACACCGTTGCCCTGAGCTGGAGTAGGTTCATGCAGGGATCGCATTATGTCTTTTCGATGTGAGATTAGATCCGCCACCAGGTCCAGCTCTCCGTAGCCCACAATATCGGCGAGCATCATCTGCAGTTCTTCGTCTATTATAGTCAGTATACTAGGTATGTTGATGGTTGGTATGATGCGTTACCATTGCTATCACTCGACAAGATTGCTGATATCTGCTCCTTCAAGGCTCCTGAATCCAAGCCAGAACTGCTTCGGGATACTTCGGAACATTTTTCTGCCAGCCATTGCTGGCTATAAGCTTCTGCTGTAACTTGTCCGTCCAGAAATTGGTCCAGATGGTCACTGCTGTACTCTTCCTCGTACTCATCGCTGATGATATCCCAGATATCTTCACCGCTGGCAGTTCCAGAGAAATCGTCATCATCGAATTCAAGGTCGTCTCCGTACGCTGGCACCTTTTCAGCATCGGCAGGAAGATTGAGTTCGGCAATGGCTTTGCGCATAGCATCGAGCTGTTGGAGCCATTGGGCATGAGCATCCTCGACTGCGGGCGACATGATTGCGGCCTGCCTGGGTGTTGTCGTCAACGTGATGGGAGTCTACGCGTTTGACCGCCTGTCACAATGGGGAGCGTGGTTTGCCTCTTTGGCAGGCTGGGCAGAATCGATGATGGATGACTGGGCTCCATTCGGCTGGACTTGCCCCGCCCCCGCGCATTAGCGCCATGACATAATCAGGAGCGCCGCGCCTTGCTGGCGGGACCGACGCATGATGCGCTATCACGGGCCTGTCGCAGGCGCCTCTTTCGAGACCAGATAGCCGCAGGGCCCACTTCTGCTACACTCTCTTTTGTCGTCTATCTGTACCCGCACCTTTACCTACAACTTCACACAAAAAGCCGCTAACATGAAGGTCGTCTACATTGGTGTAAGTGTCTCCTCACCGCCTTGGAGAAATCGCCTCGAGCCGCTAACAATGTATGTAGGTCTGGAAGAATGAGACGAAACCCAGCGTCGAGCTGACATGTGAGCGCGAGCTCAGCTCCTACGGCCGCTTCACACGAGGAAGCATCAGCGAGTTCGTACGTGACAAGGCCCAGCAGATGGCCTAGGACCATGGCAGCGTGGGAAAGACAGTCAAGCTGATGGGACGCGTAGATGTCGTTCTTTGCAGGCCAAGTCGCCGAACGAACAAGACCAGGACAAAGACAGGATGTGGAAGAGAAAGGTACGACACATGGCACTCTTGCGCGCTCCTTGTCTAACAGCACCGTCAGACTACATCTTCCACGCCTACAGCCGCTCAGAAGGCGTTTGCGGCATCATAATCACCGATTTCGAATACCCCAAGCTTGTCGCCCATCAGCTTCTCTCCAAAGTCCTCGATGAATTCGTTTCCAAATACCCCAAATCCGCCTACGCCTCCGCCACAAAGGACAGCCCGCAAATGTCTTTCCCCGAGCTCAAAGACTACGTACAAAAGTACCAGGACCCACAACAGGCAGACAGTATCATGAAGATTCAGAAGGAGTTGGACGAGACCAAGATTGTGTTGCACAAGACTATCGAGAGTGTGCTGGAGCGTGGAGAGAAGATTGATACCCTGGTTCAGAAGAGTGACGGCTTGAGTGCCCAGAGTAAGATGTTCTACACACAGGTATGTCGGGAATACGTCAAGGTTACGCGATTGGACGCTAACACCCTTTCCAGGCCAAAAAGCAGAACTCGTGCTGCATCGTCATGTAAATGCTGGAGTCGCTTTGCTGGCTTCTTGATCTTATTGGGGCGTTCACAACGGGACTTCATAGTCGAGACAAGTAATCCTGCATACCGTTTGCACTCTATACGAACAATACATTCCGTATTCTAGGGTACACATATATGCTAGTTGCGCCTATACCTAGCGCTCACTTACTTTGTCAGGCTGACAACTCCCCATCCCGGTGGCTGTCGGTGTCGCGTGGTCAGGTTGGTGTTGTTGCCCAACGACGTTAATGACTTCATCATTTTCATTCCTTGCTAGATCCATAGGATCTGAGAATTCGTGTGCTTCGTCATCCGTTTCGGAGCTCGAGTCAGATGCGACAGAGTCCTGGTCGAAAAAGTCTTCCAAGTTTTCTCCTTGGATTGGCTCGATATCAGCATCTGTAAGGTCGCCGATTCGTCGCGCATGGGCCTCCAGATTAGTGCCCACGAGCGTCTCGAGCCTGTCCCAGCTGTCGAAATCAGTATCAGACCCCTCACTGTCAGGTGAGCTTCTCCAAACGACAAACAAATCGGTTGTAGTAAGCAATGTGTTAATCCAGGGCGCCTTCCAATCCTCCTGCATCATGCTGAACCATTCTTCGATACCCTTGATGAGGACATCTTTAGAGTTCTCGTCGGTGAGCTCGCAGTAGGTGACGTTCTTTTCGATCGGATCTTTGTCGCACAACAAAAGGCGGCATTGCCGTACATTGTACTCCCAGTCGTTGTTGAACGAGGTCTCAGCCCATCCATTGTCTTCAGGACAGCGATGTGGGGACTCGGGGTCGTAATTGGGGTGTCTCCGAGCATAAAGACCACTTGAGCGATGTCTAGTATCCTCTGGTGTGTCTGGTGAGTAAGACAGGCGCTTCTTTTTACCCTTTCGAGTTGGTGTTCTGGGAACGATCTCATCGACTTCCGCTAAGCGTCCGGGAAACTGGACGCTCTTTGCGTACACCTCCATAGCTGCCCTGGCGCTATACGAGCGTGCAGCTTCAACGTCCACAGTGGGATGTGCGGCCTCCCATGAGGCTTCCGAGAACGCTATGTCGTCCAAGTTGTCAACGTCATTGACAAAATCGGTCTTCCGCTTGTAGTATGCACGTTTTCTAACCTGAAGGTCCTCGCCAGTACCACCTGGAGGTATGATACGCCAAGGACCGCCAGACTCCATCCACTTATCCCATAACTTTCCTAGAAGCTTAAGGTGAATTTGCAAAATGCACATAGAACACCAAGTGATCTTGTCTCGCTCTTCACCTTCTTCATTTGATTCGTTCTCCTGTATGTGTTCGTTTTCTAAACGGGGATCACCAGGGTGTATTGGGTGTCTGCAACGCTCCGCCAGTACAAATCCTGCAAACGCTGTTTCTGGCAACTTGTCTTCCGAACCTGGAGGCCCACGAAGCACGACGCGCTGTTTCGCACGCCACTCTTCGAAGTCCATGTGTTCGAAAGCGGTGGGAAGGAGGAGGTCGTCATCATCTAGTTCGGTAACGCCGAGGACAGTCTGGCGCCAGAATTTGTAGATTGTGAGTTCGTATGATAAGAAGAGCGCGGAGGCCTTGGGCTCGATCTTTTGTGACAGTGCCCCCATCAGCTTCGATCGCACGTCCGAGACAGACGTAGGCTTGATTTTTGAAAGGTGACTCAGTAGTAAAAAGTTGAGGTTGGCAGTGAAAAGCTGGTACCAAGAGTTGAGAATGGTATAGAGTTGAATGTATCTCTTTCGGGGCTTCGTATGGTTTTTGTCTAAGAAAATGGGAACTGGAGCGCTCGGGTCAGGTGCAAGGTCCATGGGTTACCAGCTCCCTCCTACAATGGCGTTTGTTCGAGACATAAGTTACATTCACTTTCACTGACGTCATGCTCTTAGGTGATTTGTCTGGAATGCTGTTCATTCCTTTGATAGAAGCCAAAGAATACTCTTGATAAGAATAGAAGGAGAGCTCCTTGGTGGCTGAAGGGAGTATACACAGTGTGCACTATTGCGAGTAGCCAAAGGGTGCAACAAGCACAATGAGAGTCAGGATATACAAATATTCAGGTTGTGAGAATTCTGCGCGGAGAAACCGCCGAAGCGCTTAATAGCCCAAAGGAGATGCTGGTTTTAATCAGCTACACTAACATGGTCCTCTTCGCACGATTGAAATCTTCCAAAAACTCTTTCGTGTCAGGATGGTCTGCGCCACAACGCTTCTCGGTACCAATGTAAGCCCGCTCATATAATTGTAGAGCCTCTCCATATCGCTCTTGCTTGGAAAGGGTATCTGCGAGCGTATGAACACCAATCAAGGTATCACAGTCATCAGCTCCCAGCAGTCTTTCACTCTCCAAAACGAGGCGACGGCAGACAGCTTCCGCTTGATCGAGATGGCCTTGTTGGACAAGCGTCTCAGCGAGACTATTCATTGTCAGCAAGGCTTCTTGTCGCGCCTTCTCATCGAGGTCGGTATATATGTCGATGACGCTACGATATTGCGCCACTGCCTCGTCCAGCTTGCGTTGCTTGATGAGCGATTCGCATAGAAAGTTCACACTCTTAATTGTCTCCGAGTGGTCCAGTCCAGATGTTCTCGTCCTGTACTCTACAACCTGACGATGTATGTTCTCGGCTTCGGCGGCTTTGCCTTGCATGTTGAGCAAGGCGCCCAAAGCACGTAAGCCCTGGTATGTATCATTGGTCTCTTCGCCATAAGCTTCTTTCTGTATAGCGTGCACTCGTCGATGGATCGCTGTAGCCTGCTCGAAACGCTCGTTGTTCATGTATGTGAGCGCAAGTCCGGCCATGAGCGACTGCGTCTCGATACTGCGAGGTCCATAAACTCTTTCGTATCCCTCAATCGTGCGCATGTGTATGGCCTCGCCTTCTTCGTACTTTCCCTGCTTGTTCAATCGTGCTCCCAGCTGATTTGCACTGTCTAGTGTATCCAAGTGGTCGGAGCCCAGCAAAGTCAGTCTGCCTTCGTGTGCCCTTCGAAACATCTTCTCCGATTCGTTATGTCGATTGAGAACGCTGATCGCTAGACCGAGTTGGTGGTAACTGCGAAGGGTATCTTCACAATGAGGACCTTGAACCTCTTCCAGTGCTGCCAGTGCCGTGCGACCCAGATCCTCCGCTGAGCTATAATCCCCTATCACATATGCAAATCGTGATATCATTTGGATAAGGGGTGCCCACGTCAGAAGCAAGACTCTATCCTCTGGCCGGTAGCTGGCGGCCTGCTGAGCGTGCGGGAAGAGGTACTGGCAAACCTGCCAATTGTCGTGTTCTGGCTTCGGAAAGCAATCTCGAATGATGGAGACATATCTTTGCATCCAGGCCTTCAGCTCTCGGTTGATCTCCAACCACCTCTTAGTAGTGTATTGCACTAGCCTGTGCATACTGAAATGACATCCGTCGATGTTCGTTCTGATAAGCGCAAAGTTTGTAAGCACTCTCCAATCCTCGTCGAAACAAGCAGACGTGGTGGTTTTACTACCAGTTGCCTTCTGCTGAGCCACACGCTGGCGTCGCCTTAGGTATAATCGCCGCCGTCTGATTCGCTTCCACCAATTCAGGCGGGGCTGAAGTGGGGTTGCTGAGGCGGTTACTTCCTCGCCATATTGACCGGTGAGAAGCGTTTCCGGAATGCCCTGTCGACCGAACAAACACATCAGCGACAGAAGTCTTGCAGCCGAAGGATGCGTTTGGCGCACATACTGAAAGGATAGGTGCCAAGTCTTGACAATCGAGTTAGTCCTTCTAGTATCTCGACTTGTTTCGTGCGCACTTGTTTCTAAGAGCTGCACTGTTTCTTCACTCGGTGCCTGAATTCTCTCAGTGGCCTTCGAAAGTGTGAGGCGTGGATAGTTCATGCTGATGTTTGTCGCAATTTGAGATATTGCTAATGGCATGAAGTCGACTGACTTGACAAGCTCAGCAGCTTCAGCTTCGGTATAGATAACCTTGCTGCTGAGCTTCTTCTTCAAGAGAGCAATCGCTTCAGACTCATTCATCTCATCGACATCAATGTGGTATGCGCAGTTTCCGGTGATCATCTGCGCAGCCTCGATATTCCTTGATGTGACGAGAATAGACCCTTTTGTCGAAGTAGTGATAAAGTTTCGAATCTGCGGCATGGATGAATCATCGTCAATGCTATTACTGGATGTGACTCTTGGGGCAGGCGCAGTCAGAACGTCAACAGAGTCGACATTATCCAGGATCAGGGTCCATGGACCGTTAGAGTCGTCTTTGAGCCAATCATGTACCATAGTAAAGATGTCTGCCGCTTTCTCGTCCCAGCCTCGAAGACCGACTGCCTTCGCTATCTTCCGGAAGTCCTGAGCGACAGTGGCTGGCGTATCGAATGTCACCCAAAACACCCAAGTATCCGGTGCGGCTTTTCTTACGCGATAGCTGTATTCGATAGCTATGCGTGACTTGCTAAACCAGCTATCAGCGGGAGTCATACATAAAATCATGATTGGCAGTATCATCCGTTGCCAGCGTCAGTTCGAGCACGTACCCAGCGCCGCCAATACCTATCAAAGCTGACCTTGACCCGGCTTGACATCGCGTCGTAACGTCACACATGACGTCTCGCTCCACGAAGTCCGCCTCTCGCTCAAATGGACAAGTGCTTGTTGGTTGTAGTGAGGATTTCTCATCTGAAAACAAGACATTAGCCTACGTCCTTGGAATAGTGTTGAAGAATGGAATATACGTACTACTCGAATGGAGTGCCACGCTCGATAGGCCATAGTTCATGGCTTCCATGTATCTCCGAATGACTTTATCTAGCTCGCTCACATCGCTGTCGTATTTAACGCTTTTGATGGACTTCCAGCTACGTGTAGCTCCTTTATCACCAGGTTTAAACAAAACCTTGTCAATTATCGTCTCCAACTTCTTGATCTGATTGAAGCACTCTTCGATCGCGGGCTTTAATGCTCTCCTTGCATCATCTGTCATATCCTCAACTTTCGCATTCGTATCTCGAAGCTTAAGAACAAAGATAGGTAGTCGGGTGCTGACATGTTTGAAAGCAGTGGGCAGACTGTCCTCTTTCTTGCGATATTCATTGAGACGCTCAGCAACCCTAACGCTGATATCGATAACCTGAAGAATGCTAGCAGCGACACTAAGGGCTGCAAGTTCCGCCATGGCATTGCAGGAGGACGGGAAGACTAGTTGAAGACAAAGAAATCGTAGGCAAGGGGCAGGCAGTAAGACGATATCATCGAGGGGCGAAAAGACTGGGTTTCTGCAGGATGAAGGCGCAGCAAGGCTGCGACAACTTGTGATGCATCGACATGGGGTGGCGGCAACAGTAATTCGCTGATTGCGCGTACGACGGAAGCGCGAAGGATGCCGTGCGACGCGCCATGAGGCAGCCGCTGCGATGGAGACCGACTACGCACCCAAGAAACGATCCAAACGCTCAGAGTGGACTGACAATAGTCCGGAAAGGACAAAATCAAGAATCGCGAACTGGCAAGGTGATGCGCGTAGCCAGTGGGCGACTGACGACAGGGGAAAGCGAGCTCCGAATGAGCAGGCCTCAACAAACTGTGGTACGCTTTGGTTATCCTCGTAACTGTGCGTGTGACCTATGCCGAGTGAGAAGCTTTTGGTGACTTCATCACAGCGTCCATCTACTCGACCATGTGCTGTCGTGTTTTGGGAAGAAGTGTGAGGCAGGTGCGGCTTCCCAGCCTTCCTGGACGAGCTACCGGCGCTAACCCAAAACACGACGGAAGCGAGCATCCAAAGGTAGGGAACAACGTCTTCGAAAAATATCATCAGAATAGTAACGTTATTATCAGGCTTTCATTCCTGTCGTCTGTTACCTGACCCGACGCCGAACTACAGGTACTAGCTATGTATCGTCCCAATTATGCTATACGAGCTGGATATCTGAAGAAGAAAAATGAAGAAAAGTGACTACAACTCCCTCGATTTACCGACGCCTTCGTATCGGAAGCCCAATGCCTCCAGAGGCACAGGGTCGACGACATTACGCCCGTCGAACACGTACATGGGACGTCGCATCACTTGCGAGATGCGCTTCCATGATATCTCTTTGCGCATTGCATCCATGTCGCCACTACGTACCGAGTCTCCACGGGCATGTGCAGAACTGCTCTTGTTGCTAAATTCGTCCCACTCCGTCAGTATGACCACGGCGTCGGCGTCAGTACACGCGTCATAGGTCGAAGAGCAGACGGCGAGCCTGCCTTTGATGCTTTGCGGGTGTGGGTTACTGCTCTCGATATCGTGCCGTATTTGCGATTCCTTGACCTGGGGATCGTAGATTCTGACATTCGCGCCCTCTGCGAGAAGGTTGTTGACAACTGTGATGGCTGCTGATTCACGAGTATCCCCTGTGTCTTTCTTGTACGCGAAGCCGAGGATCGCAAGTGTCTTATTCGAGAGCGAGTTGTACAAGCATCGCACAATACGGCGGGTAAATCGGTCCTTTTGGTACTCATTGATGTCGACTACCGATCGCCAGTAGGCAGCGACTTCGAACAAGTTCAGCGACTCCGCGATATATGCTAAGGATAAGATGTCTTTGCGAAAGCAAGAGCCACCGAACCCAACCGATGCTTTGAGCATTCTAGACCCAATGCGCTTGTCTAGTCCGACGGCGTAGGATACCTCATCGATATCTGCACCTACTGCTTCGCACATGGCACCCAACGCGTTGACACTGCTGATCCGTTGAGCAAGCAGAGCGTTTGCAGCTAACTTTGCCAACTCAGAGCTGAATAGGTTTATCGTGATGATACGCTCCGTGCTGACCCAAGCAGAGTAGATCTGGGCGAGGGCTCGTGCAGCCGCCAGTCCTTGAGGAGTCTTCAGAGACCCGATCAGTACGCGGTCGGGATTCGAAAGATTTTGAATGGCGGTTCCTTCCGCTAGAAATTCGGGGTTCGACAATATCTCAAATTCTACTCCAGGTTTGCTCGTTGCTCTCAGAACGTCTCGAAGTGTGTCTGCTGCTCGGCAAGGTACAGTGCTCTTCTCTACAATAATCTTATTGTCCGTCGCTACAGCTCCAATCTTTCGAACAGCAGACTCCAAATACGACAGTTCGCTCGCATGTCCTGCACCTTGGCCCAATGTCTTGGTTGGGGTGTTTACACTCAACAAGATGAGTTCAGCTTCGGCAATGCCGCGGTCGACATCTGTGGAGAAGAAGAGATTTGGTGCCCTCTTGTTTGGAATACCGTCGCGTGATGGTTTGACCATCTCCATGAGGCCAGGTTCGTATATGGGGAGTTCGTCTGATTGCCATGCAGCAATACGCTTGCTGTCGTAATCGACTACTGTTACCTGGATGTTGGGATTCGCGTTCGCCATGACTGCCGAAGTCGGCCCTCCCACGTATCCTGCACCAACGCAACATATCTTAGTTATGCGGCCAAATAGTTTGGACTCGTTGCTGGAGCGGTATGAGGGTGCCGGAATAGGCGCATCTTGCCGCGTGTGGGTAGACATGAAAGGTATAAGATAGTTGAGAAAGAATGTGAAGGGGGGTTCAACTAGTCTGCTCAGTTGGATAATGATGAAGTAGTCGCTATGGAAGCCAGAAGGATACCTATAGGTACACAAGGCTATCGAGATCTCGAATGAGATATCCGTAAGCCGCGGACAAGCACCAAGCGACCACCCGCACTCATACTCGCCTGGACGGCTATCGGCATCTTCTACCACCTAGGTTTTATTTACAAAGTACCAATCTGCACCTACTGTGCCGAGCATGGGCCTTGACGTATTGGACCGTTTGGAAGCGTTTGGTCAGGAGTTGAGCACTAGCGCCTCGGAAGTGCCGGGGTCGCCACGGCTTCCTAGGTATTGACGGGGTGCCTGCCAAGCAAGCCTTAGCAACGTCGGTCGTAAAGTCAGTGATGTAATCCTTAGCGTGGAAACCCCACAATACTCGGCGAGGCTCAACTTTGCTGCTGGATTGAGCAAAGTGCGGCTATGCGTTCATGCGTTCGATTAGTCTTGTTGCAAAATTTCTAGATCCACGCCGAGTTGTTCAGTTTTTCCCTCTGGTCCGAGGACATCGCAGAGGATTGAAGTACTACACAACACTAACAAAAATAGACCATGTTCAAGGAGCTAATATCGGAATTCGGCAACAGATAATCACAGCAAGGTGAGGCAGTGTGCCTAAGATGATGGCTGAGCTAGGCTCTATGGTGCAGCTAATTGCAAGCATTGTATCGGTGAGCCAACACATAGAGGCAGTCATCACACCTTATTCGTTCACGCTGGAGATACAGTACCTAAATCCGGTCATCCCCGTCTTACGCTACGAGGATTCATCGCGTGACATGGCATACATCATGCCTTGCGGGGCGTGAATAGACACGCATGTAAAGAGGCTAAGACGTTAGCGAACCGCAGCAGTCTCCGAAATTGACGATGAGAAGCTAAGTAGCTTTGTCGGTCATAGCCGCAGTGGCGCTATAGTCTCTTCCTACCACCCCTTGTCGGCCCAGATATCGGTTCAGCCAACTCAAATTGGACGAGTCTTTGACTGTACGCAGCCCCATTGCCAGCGCGCACACGACTCTCCCCTCTCAATCAACAAAGACAACAGCAACATGGAAAAAATTGAGATGACTCAGCCCGAGCCGATCCCAAAGCAATCAACCAGCGAGGACGAAGAGTATCCTGCTGAACACCTCTTCAAAGAGAACGAACCATTGCTAGATCTCGAGAGTCAACATGAGGAGAAGCAGGAGCTTGCTCATCGAGCAACCGAACCGGCCGTCAGCCGGACGAAGACTTTCGTGTTTCTGGCAACTTATTTCATAATGAATCTGAGTCTTACCTTCTACAATAAAGCAGTCATGGGTTCGGTATGTAGCACGTATCAGATTGGGTGTGAACATCGAGCTAATAGAACATACAGTTCCCATTCCCATGGATTCTGACAGCAGTACACACCGGGAGTGCTGCTCTTGGAAGTTTGGTTTTCTTGATGTTTGGATATTTCCAGTTGACGCGACTGACAACGCGCGAGCACCTGGTACATTTCATGTTCTCGCTGCTGTTCACGCTGAACATCGCAATGTCTAACCTGTCGCTGTAAGCAATCGTGCCCTCTCCAATCTTGAGTCAGTCACTAATGAGGACTTACAGGGCTATGGTTTCAGTTCCTTTCCATCAAATCATGCGGGCAACCTGTCCACTTTTTACGATCCTGATCTATCGCCTCGTTTTCTCTAGAAGATATGCTGTCATAACATATCTGTCTATTGTCCCTGTAATGCTGGGTGTCGGTCTAGCGACCTTCGTAAGTAACGCCCCTGCACGAAATACATGCGAGACACAAGCTGACTTCGTATACCAATCTTTAGGGCGACTACTACTTCACCGCCCTGGGTTTCACTCTAACTCTTATCGGTGTGGTCCTCGCAGCCATAAAGGTAAGCAGAATCCGAAGGATCATGTACATTATTCACGAAGGATTCTGACAATTAAAATAGACGGTCGTTACCAACCGTTTGATGACAGGGCGCCTGCGACTACCCGCACTGGAGCTGCTCCTCCGCATGGGTCCCTTGGCTGCTGTGCAATCTCTGCTCTATTCCGTACTCATTGGCGAGTTCTCGGAATTCCTTGATTTCGTAAAAGCTGGGCATCTGACAGCGGAGAGGATTCTGACAGTCTCGGGTAACGGCCTGCTTGCGTTTGGCCTTAATGTCGCGTCTTTCGAGACGAACAAGCTGGCAGGCGCGCTGACATTGACTATCTGCGCGAACTTGAAGCAATGTCTAACCATTGTATTGGGAGCTTTCTTGTGGGACGTGCCTGTCAGTCCCATGAATGGAGCCGGCATACTCCTAGCTCTTGCAGGCGGAGCGTGGTACAGTAGCATAGAGCTTAGGGCAAAGGCGAGAGCCAGTGGATGAACGAATGACTTGTCGCGTCAGGCTTTTGTTAGTGTGGCACGCTAGTCATGGATATGAATGAGCACGTCCAACCGATCGCTTGGGGCGCCAAGCGAAGCGCCAACGTTCCGTTCTTCCCGTTTTCCCAGCGGAATCTGCCTCGCTCCATCAACCTCTTTAGGGATTATGCAATTCATGCAAAACCATAGTAGAATACCATACATGACGCCACAACATGCCTTGCCACGGGATCACACGGCATGCACCGCAAGGCGTGCGTTGCTTGGCTGTGAGCAGACTAAAATTAGCACTAACTTACCATTGATCATATCATAGTCAACTCTAGAGAGTTGTGGCTCAACACACCTGCGCCATGCCTCGTCCCAGGACTCTCGCTGCTGGAATCGTGGCTTTTGCGACCCTAATATTTCTCTGGACTGCGCTACATCTTGGGTCACTCGACGCCATACGTGGAGCCACGGCACAAGATGCGCTCACGAGCAGTCTTAAAGAGTCACGTCTTCACCTACTCATAGTGGCTACCAGCAGCGGCCTCGATTTATGCCGCCTCCTTCTCTCCGCCTCCATTCTCTCGTACCCAACCCCTGTTTTGATCGACTGGGCCGGAGAGGGTGCATTCAATGCTGCAGAAACCCACCTTGCGAAGATCGCAGGTCCTCTTCGCTACCTCGAAAACCTAACAACCATTCAGGATAACGACATAGTCCTTCTCCTGGACGGTTTCGACATCACCTTTCAACTCAGTCCGGACGTTTTGTTAAAACGGTACTTCGAGGAAACGGCTACTGCAAACGAGCGTTTGATTGCCAAGTATGGCAAGAGCCATATGCGGAAACACAACATGCACAACAGCATCCTCTTTGGTCCGGACAAAACATGCTTCCCTGAAGATATACAGCGTTTAGCATGCTGGGTTGTACCGCAGTCGCCCCTCCAACCCGATGCATTTGGCCCTTATACCGACGGTTGGGGCGATATGCTACACGCAAGACCACGCTGGTTAAACTCTGGCACCATCATCGGACCCGCGGCAGAAATGCGAGATATGTTTCGTGCGACTCAAGAGAAGATCCATAAGACGTATGATCCTGAGTACGTGTTGCGCAACTCTGACCAGAAGTATTTTGCGGATGTATGGGGCGACCAGGAATATTCGCGTATATTATCGCATGAGGATGTGCCTTATGGGATACCTCAAGAGGTCCAAGAAGCTGGTCTACCGGTGCTTGAGGAGGGTCAGAAGACTGAATATCATATCGGTCTAGATTACCGATCAAGCTTATTCCAGACAGCGGCTGGATACAGGAATTATATAGCGTGGATGACGACAAACCGGTCTTCGTTTCCATCAACATCAACGTCCGTGGAACCGTACCGCATAGATCTACAAGAAGACGTGTTACAATCCAAGAAGCCTTTTGCTGCCATTTCTGACGACGCAGCATTACAAAAGACTTCTTGGCGTAATGTGTCTCTCGGCTTCAACACTGTCACTGGGCAGGCTTTTCCACTGCTGCACTTCACAGGCGACAAGTCCTTCCGAGACACTTGGTGGCCTCGCATGTGGTATTTTGAAGAGGCTGAACGCCTTCAGCGTGCATCAGCTCAGATACACGATCCGCAGATCGGATCAGACCTTATCGATGGGGTTTCATGGACAAAGAACATACCATACGATGAGACAGAACGCAAGATTGAAGAGAAATCTGGAGCTTGGAGTGATCAGGGAGAAGCGCTCTCATGGGAAGCCCTTTGCGGATCTCACGAGCGTGCTTTGTACAGTGCAGAGTCGGGACCTGAAGATGTCTCGTTTGCGGAGATAATATACCATTGAATTTTCAAGCGACGAGCGTTCTATTAACTACATCTCAATATCATCATAGACACCTTACACGAAATCGTTGAGTTCCAAGATTACGCCACATGTTATCTTTGGCAAATATACGTCTAGTCTCATTTTCCACACCTCCGCGTATCAGCGCTTTTCACTAGAAATCCTGCGCTTACTATGATATGTAATCGACCGAATAGGTGTCAAATGCCGTGGAAACACTAGTGACCTGTCTCGGCAGACTTGTTCCGATGCCTGCAACCACACTTCGGTACCCACACCCTGCACGTCCATCCGCCATTTCCCGGAGTGGAATCGACAATACACTAGCGAACATCGCTACCAACGCCACACGGCTATGGGATCCGATTAGTCCCAATGTAAGATTGTATACTAGCAAAGCGGACTGATATCACACACGGCTCATCGCCGGCATGTGCCATACGCTTGCTCAGGTTCAAGTGCTTTGCCAGCTCACATAGTGCAAACGTCGCACTCCAGCCGTGTGACTGCATCTGCATAATCGATGCGTGGGTACAAGCAAGTCTCGAGCGAGTACCTGGACGCCGCAGTCGGACGACTACCGACTCTGAGTCGACGGCGCCGGGTACTCGTCGCAGCGACATTCATACTCCTTGTCATTTTACTCTTTGCTGTCAACGGTGACCGTCACCTTGTTCCAAATTCTATACCCTCATCCCTCTCCTCTCCATTTTCTGGCAAGAAAGATACACCGAAGAAGTCCGCGATCCTTCACCTTCTCATTCCTGCGGATCACAAAGATGTCAATCTTTGCAAAACGATGCTAAGCGCCGCAGTGGCTGGATATCCAACTCCAACACTGATCAACTGGGGCGCCAAATTCGACGATAAAACGCTTGTGGCTGGAGGTTCACATTTAGCCAAGATTAGTGGTGTACTCGAGTATCTGCGTACACTTGGACCGGAGCGCGACGACGACCTGTTATTACTTGTGGATGGATATGATATCTGGTTTCAACTGCGTCCCAGCGCGCTGGTATCGCGCTTCCACGCCATCAACAACGAGGCGAACACGCGGATACAGCAGACTATGGGTTCGAAAGCAGCCGCTGCAGAAGGGATAACCCAAGACATTATCTTTTCTGCGCAGAAGCGGTGCTGGCCATGGAAGCCAGAAGACCCACCTTGCTACGCTGTGCCGCAGTCTTCGCTGCCAAACGACATCTACGGCCCCGAAACGGATACGGATATTGGATTTGAGAAGAACCCATACGTCAAGTTCCGGCAACGCTATCTCAACTCTGGCGATGCGATGGGTCGCGTAGGGGCGATGAAGGCCCTCTTCGAGCGGGCGATGGAAAAGGCAGAAAAGGACCGGAACTTCGGTAGTGATCAAAAGATCTTCAGTGAGATCTTCGGAGACCAGGAGTTTCAGCGAGAGGTCATGAGACAGCGGCATCGGAATGTTTTCCAGAAGATGGGAGATTGGTTAACTGGTAGGAACAGTATCCTCAACCCACAGTCTGAGCGACACTTGCGCGATCACAAAGGAGGAAAACCCGATGAGTTCGGTATAGGGTTGGATTATGCTAGTCTGCTTGGCCACCCAACGGTGTTTGCAGAGGAGGACTCAGCATGGGTGACATATGATGACCCCAAGTCCATCGCGCAAGCCTCCGCCGAGCTCAAAATTGCGCCAGTACGCGTACACGACCTCGCCCAAGACGTCACAGACTCGCAGCCACCATTTCGCCCAGCAGTCGTTGCTCCCGGTTCCAGCTTCTCTGAAGATAGAACCTGGCGTGATGTCCCTCTCTATACCAACATGTGGACGAGCGTTGTTCCTGGTCTCATTCACCACAATGCTCATCGAGACGGACTGAAGTCGCTGCGCGTCTCGGTCTGGGATCGCATGTGGTACTTCAACCATTCTAGAAAGTTATTCGAGTCGAACGCTGCCGGGCCGGTTGGTCCCGTCGCTGTCGTGCACGATGATGATGGGAAGGAGCAGGCGTGGTGGAGTCCAATTGCAGAGAAGGGCGGAGCGAAGTCGGACAAGGGTGAATGGCTACCATGGGATGAGTTGTGTCAGGAGTTTGAAGGCGAGGTATTCAGGGATAGTTAGATGTTTAGCTCATTATTTGATGCGTTTCAATGGAAGCCAAAGACAGTCCAAGTGTCTATCGTTGGTCTATGTGCATGTGTTATTGAAGCTTTGTAAAGCAGAAATACATAAGGTTAGAGTGACCGTAGAAGAGACACAACGCCAAATAAGCGAACCGTGGCTTCGAAGATCTTGGAGACCTCATGGAGATGGGACAAGCAGACTTGGATCAACTCTCAGATCTAGACTACCATGATCCCAGCACCCACAACACGAAGTACGACCGTTTTCGACCTAGAGAATGGGAATTCATATGAACCAATCGGTAACACCATCCCAGTAGGTGGGGTCATCATCATCGTCCATCGTCGAGCCTGGACTGGCGCCACTTCTAGTGTGTTCCAATTTCATCGCCTCTTGCACAGTGGGCCATTCTATCGCACTCGTATCTACTCCGTCGTATGTCCATTGGTTGTCGTTGGTACATGCAGTAGAAGTCTCCGCCTAGTAAGACCCGCAGTAAGACTCGTCGTTTTCTTCATCGCTCTCGTCATCGCTGCTAGACGCCATGTCGAAGCTGCATTGTGCAGGGTTTGAAAGCTCGACCCATGTATCTTGGCTGGAAACTGGACTAATCATATCGTACTCAGCAGCGTCTGAATCTGAGATACTCTCTCCAATGTCAGTTTCCAGGTGGCAGACGGTACTGAGAATCGGACGGCGATAATTCTGTTTGATTGGATCCAAGTCTACAGGGCGGGGTTCGTGTAGTGGTGACATGCGCTGCTGAGACTCTCCACAATCGTAGGGATCAGACAAGGTAACAGTGTCCAATGAAGATATATCCGCTGTTACGACATTTGGTACCTGTGCACCTGAAGCGAAATCGGCATTCCACGCACGCTTTGTCTTCAGCCTATCGTAAAACTCTGTAACTGGTGAACGAGAACAGTCTTCTGGTGGTATAGAGGCGGATGAGTCGATAAGAGCGGCTGCATTGTTGTCTGTGAGAATTGGGGCCTCAGTCACAGATTGCTGGGATGCGGGAATGCTACCATGCCCGATCAGGTGCCCATCGGCGAAGAACTTCGATTTTTTCTTAGGTTGCAAAGGGAAGCTATTGCATTCGGGAGGCGTATCAGGGTCAGCTGCCAATAAAGGGCGTTGCCAACGGCCATGGAAATGTGAGTTGACGATTTTGCGTACATCATCAAGGTAAGGCTGTTCTCGTCTCAAGCTGCAATCAGAAATCGAACCATGGCTCTCATTGTTTGCTATGCGATGTTCGGCGGACAGAATAGTTTGCGCTAATTGTATTGGGGATGTTGTAGACGCATTGGGTGGCATGTTGCATCTTGTAGGAAAGTCGAAGAGCATTGGACGAGACGTCTTCGAAACCTGTGTCAACGGCGTTGGAAACGCTGGTTTCTCCTGCTGGATATCTGAGTCGAATGTGGATCTGATAGGCACTGTTTCGAGAATTTTCGACGCGGGTGCAGAACATGCTGCGCTTGTTACTGCGTCCTGTGTACGAGAGGAGGACATGGATGGAACTAAGAATTTTGGACAACGCAAGTCTTTCTGAACGCAACTTGCTCCCAGAAACCTGGATTTGGATGGATACCGTCCTGAAGGGTCTGGGCAGGCAAGAAACGCGGAAAGTGGGAAACATCGTGGATTCTTTCGTTCAGCCTTTGGGACACTAGAACGGGGTTGACATTGCGGCATTTTGATCTGACATGGCTGCGACTCGTCGGGCAGCTTGTGTTCCTCCGATATCATCGCTGTCCGCGCAGGGTTGGTCGCAGCGGCCATGGAGTTCGGCAGGAACTGTGGGGCCCAGAGAGGCCTGTCGACATCAAAGGAGGTAGCTTTGGTAGTTGCGGTACTTGGAATATGGGGAGGAGTTTCTGGCATCCCTGGTTGGGACGGCTTGTCATCATGAAGACGTAACGCAGCGAGCCTCTTACACAACACGCTAATGCTGTTGTGATCGCGCCCTGCAGTGTCCTTCTTAGACGTTTCTTTGCTTCTATGTCGTTTTCCACCCCGCTTGCCTCGCCGCTTTGCGCTTCTACTCGAGGTGGGTACGAGATCGAAATCCTATCTCGTCTCGGTGGTCAACTGGTTCAGCTCTGCCAAAATGCTAAATCTGTTTGCTGTGATGACTTAGTGACTTGATAGCATCCACATGGGAGCCAACGAACGAGTAGGGGTGAATTCATGCTGATGAGGACAAGTCGTCAAGCAGTACTTGGCAGAGGTGGCTCCCATATCACGTTCTCGACAATCGGGGCAGCGATAGTCCTTGAGAGGACGCGCAGGCTTGGAGAGCGGCATGGAGGTCTTGTCATGGTAGGATGGTTGAGCTTGTCCTAGGATCATGCTAGAGGTGTAACGAAAGGCAATGTGGACTAGGAAATATAGAGCAAATGAGAACGAGGTGACGGGATGGTGGACTTAGTATCTCGGTGTTATGACGTGTGATAGTAGGAGAATGGAGTATGCGGAAGACAGTCTAGTGTTGATGGCATGTGACGGAAGGTTGTTTCTTTATGGAAGGAAACGCTGGCTGTGCAACCATATCTCTAGTTATGCCTTCCAGCGTAGCACGAAGAAGTCGCGTTCTCTCTTGGCAAGGAAGGCACGACCAGTGCAAGCTGAGGTATGGATGCCGATGAGGTTAGCGTGGAGTCTTTCACCCTGACTGGAAGTTGACACAACATGAGACCACATAAGACAAACGCGTAAAGTGACACATCGTAGACAAAGAAAAGTTGTCGCCTCGCCGTGTCTCAGTGAGGGCTGGTGGGAGATGACAAATGGAGCTTAAGCTAGGGCCATGACCTCAGAGTGCTTGAGCTAAAATTGGTGGGGAAGCCATCTCTCCATCTCTGCCTGGACTTCTTTGCTGTCGACTAACCCCACCTCGCAAATACCCTCGCCGCACACATCTCCCGTCCCAGGGCGCTCCAGGATAATTGGCAAGAACCACGAAGCTGCAATTACCTGGAGCCGCTTCCGCATCCGCTGTCGCACTTAGACTACCACCTTCCTAGCAAACATGGCCGACACCGCCGCACGCCCAGGCTTCGCGCAGAAGCAGCACCGTCGCCCAGGATCGCGCATCGTGCCTGCCATCCCATACCGTCTGTCCAAGTCTCAGCCATCTGCCAGACCCATTACCCCAGAAGGCTCCCACAAAGGCGCCGCCGCTCAGCTATCTGAGCCGCAGCCGGAGCCGCAAAGAGTGCCGGAGAAGCAGATCGAAGAGCACGCGGAACAGAAGCATGCAGAGCCTGTGCAAGCCCCTCTCACACCCGAGTCGGACGTTTCTGGTGTCGACAAGGGAGAGCTGCCAGCAGATGGCTTGGCTAGCCCATCGCAGAACGGGCACAAAGCGCCATCAGACGCTCAGGGTAGGTTTCCGCTGTGGGCTGCCTCTAACGCCCAACATGCACTAAGTTCTGAAGATGCAGGAAACCAAGTCAACGGACATACCAATGGATATGCCGACGAGAAGCCTCCCCCGCCGACGGAGCCCAGCGCCGAAACGAAGCCAGCCGTCAACGGGGTGCACCGCAAGTTGACCATACCCTCTCACCTTCCCCCACCGTTCTATCCCTCGAACAAGACCGATACGCCGCCGGCAGAGGGGAGTGACACTCCATCGCATCGACACCAGCTCAGTGCAGGCGCCCTCGTCTTCAGGAGCGCAAATGAGTCACCAGCACCTCCTGTGACATCTCAAGAGCCAGACCTGCATCCACACGAACAGCATGTGCTGCCCCGTCCTCCGCCTGGCTTTGGTCCCCAGCAATTTGCGCCCTTCTTTCCGGGTCATGCTCAGCATCCCTCTCAGGCAGGAGCGCCCTGGCACATGCCCCCAAACACAGTTGCGCCGCCTGATCCCACGTACGCAAACGGCTCTGATTTTCGCCCCTCCCAGTTTCCTAGTGGTCCGGACGGCTACTCGAACCCTTACAACGGCCATTTCTCGCCGGAACAGGCACCTTTCGTCGCAAATGGTACCCTCACCTCTCATTCGCAGTCACCGAGCAAGGCACAATTTGGCGAAACGGTACCGACTTCAGAGCATGGGGAGGAGCATCGTGCCTTGCCCTACCAGAACGGCACTGCGCCTCCTCCCGCTGAGCGCCTAGAGGAGTCGCCTTTTGAGCTTGCGGGTTATCTTTCTACGCAGTTTGGGAATCCAGAATTCGCCGACTTTGTCCTCCAAGTCCGATCTCCGGAATCGGTCCTGGTATCAGTGCCTGTGCACGGCATCATAGTGGTACGCAGTCCAGTCATAGCAGAAGCTATCCGTCGCAGTCCTGTCCCAAGTCATCGTAGTAGGGATGCGCGTCGGCTAGTCGATGTCGTCGCGCTGGACCCTTTCACCACTGGCGAATCTCTGGGAGAGGCTGTCAGAGTGCTGTATGGTGCCCCACTTCTTTCCGCCCAGACCTTCCTCTATGGCCTCGCACCTTACATGTACGAGAGTGACCAAGCAACTCCCTCCAATGACGCTCGCCGGCGCATGCAACAAATCCTGAGTTATATTGCGGCAGCAAGGACTTTCCAGATACCTAGCATGCAGGCACGTGGCATCGAGATTGCAAGGATGCTTCTCCGATGGGACACTGTGGAACAGGTCTTGCAATACATACTGCAAGCCAATTCTGGACCACGGTCAAGAGCCGAAGGACCTGATACGGACGACCCCTTCATCTCAACGCTACTGAACTACGCTCTCGAGTTCCTTGCCTTCACCTTTCCTATCGACTTCAAGCTGTACACCATAGCGCCTGAGTTCTCTGACGCACCACGTCTGCCTGCGGTCGTTGAGAATCGCCAGGCCGCGCATAATCCACGGCTAAGCAAGATTCGCTTCGGTGATGCACCGACAGAAGACGACCACCAGCCCAGCCATTCGACTGTCGTGTTGTCGACCATTCTTCTATCGCTACCGCTTCCGCTCGTAGAGCGCCTCTTCAATCATCGTGCGACAGCTAGCCAGATTGGGTGGACTGGTGCTAATAAGATCTTACGGGATGTCGTCAACGAGCGCGAAAATCGACGCCAGAAAGCTTCAAGAAGCCAGTTGAAGCCGACTCAAGATGGCACGATTCCTGCCGGGCTACTAAGCAATGTCTATCTTGAGGAGCGCGTGGAACAGGTCGAGCCGTCGCCGCTGCATCCTTCCGGTCATCGCTTGGCGACAAAACGGGTCGCTGGTGAGACCTGAGGGGCCGTCCGAACAAGTGGAGCCTCAACGACGTTAGTTCTTTCTCATGTCAAAATTCGATATCGGCACACATTTTCTGGCCGAAACATACAAATCGGGTAGGTTCTTTCCTTGGGTTGTATAGCATAGTGAGCGTTTATGGGCGTTCACGCAGGCGTTGTGAGCGAATCCTTCTACCATAACCTTTCCTTCGGTCACCAAAAGTATGAAACGACATGACGAAGCATATTCCCCAAGATTACGATAGCATGGCAGCTTGGCACTGTTTGTACATCATTACGGCATGTTTCCCTTTCTCTATGATGATGGCGTCTGGGGCAGATGCGTCGAATTAGGCGCTGCCTGGTATACAACTGTGAAAGTTGAGATCTGGAGGTTTAGATAGACCGCACAAAAAGCGGAAAAATAGTATTGATGGTATTAAACGAATCACGCAAATGAAGATGATAAAATGTCATGACTACGTAGGCACAGAAAAGTAAACCTTAGCGAACAGTCTCAAACAAAGCTTGCCTCGGCTGAATACACGGCTATTAGACGGAAATAACGCCCAGCACGTTTCGTGACGTGCTTGTCGCCGCACTCCGTTGTGTGTACTTCCCAAGGTTCGGCTAAAGCATCAGACTTTATTAATAACAGAAACCCCTAACGGAAGTCCGAACCCGCAAAGGTCATGGTCGCGCGGCAAGCACGTTTCGCTTGGTGTTGCTCGGTCTTAACTTCGAGCGAGCTGCTTATGGTGGAGAAGCTCAAGGGAGGAAAAGGGCGTGTGGTGCAGTCCGTGTTTGTATTCAGAATCGTCTAGCCGGACGCCTCAAGTCATACTATCCTAAGCTTGATATATGATCTGCCGGGCCCACTTGTTTCCTTCAGATCCCTTTCCGATCTCCTTTCCGTACGCGGTGCCGTCAGCTCTATAACATTCACATCGTTCTTTTCTTGCGCGTTTCTTGGCCGCAGTAAATCGGCTGAGCCGTTGTGATAACCATATTCTCGGGAATAAACTAATTCGACGCTTACTATCGACCCAACCAATCCGCCGTCGTGACACCGAGAAGGGTCAACAGCGCTGTCGATCACGACAGCTGCCGCTACGGAAATGGGGATAGAACACGCCAACGACCCATCGCTCGAGCGGCATACGCAAGCAGCAGCGGTATCAGATGCATCAACGACTTTTGATGAGAAACCTAGTCACCAGGCGTCTCTGGATTCACTGCACAGCGCGAACACCTCTGTGGCGAATCAGGGTCAAGAGAAGGGTCAACACGTGACTGAAGCTACGGATGAAGAACGCGCTGCAGGCTTAGGAACGACGCTGGAGCCTGTAAGTGATGTCCCCGTCTAGACTATATGAGACATATTCTGATTTCGTTCACCGGCTTTTAGGTTCGATCGGTGCATCCCAGCGTGAAGGATGTCTCCAAGATCCCAAATGGAGGCTTATGGGCGTGGTTACAGGTACTGGGTGGATTTTTTCTGTTATTCAATTCTTGGGGCATCATCAACACATTCGGATCGTATCAAGCCTACTATGAGACCAACCTACTTGCCGACTCGAGCCCTTCGTCTATATCGTGGATCGGTTCCATCCAGGCTTTCCTCCTTCTCTTGGTCGGCGCACTCACTGGCCCAATCTATGACGCAGGATATTTTCGCGAACTACTCATCGTGGGAAGTGTCATGTTGGTTCTGGGCCAAATGATGCTCAGCCTTTGTCATACGTACTGGCAAGTACTCCTCGCGCAGGCCTTCTGCATAGGTATCGGGACAGGCTGTTTGTTCATCCCCAGTGTGGCTATCCTCTCCACGTACTTCTCCACCAGGATCGGAACAGCTATTGGACTCGCCGCATCTGGATCGTCGTTTGGAGGTGTTATCTATCCCATCGTATTCCATAAGCTTCTTCCCCAGATTGGATTTGCATGGACGACGAGGGTTTTGGGCTTCATCATCCTCGCCACCATGATCATACCGAATGTATGCATGCGAGTCCGCGTCCTACCAGCAAAATCACGCTCGCTTCTCGATCTTCGCGCCTTCTTAATCCCAGCGTATAGTCTTCAAGTTGCTGGATTCTTTCTCGGGTTCATGGGACTGTATATGCCATTCTTCTACGCACAAGTCTACGCCATCCAGGAACATATTACCAACGAGAGTCTGGCCTTTTACCTCCTCGCTGTCATGAACAGTACGAGTGTTTTTGGTCGTATAGTACCCAACTTGGTATGCTTCTTATGCCCTACTCGTCTTCCTAATCATTGCATTTGATGATTACAGTTCGCTGACTTTTGTGTACAATAGTTCTCTGACAAAGTCGGTCCCTTCAACGTCGTAATTCCTTGCACTATCATATCGGGCCTCCTCTGTATATGCTTCATATCCGTCTCATCCACTGCCGGCATAATTGTCCTTATGGCATGTTACGGCTTCTTCTCCGGATCTTTCGTTTCGCTACCACCCACCATCATTGTTCACTTGAGCACCGACGCACGAGACAAGATCGGCACGAGACTAGGCCAAAGTTTTGGAGTCGTGGCTGTGGGCCTGCTTGTTGGAACGCCGATTGGAGGCGCAATCCAAGGCCATAGCGGTTTCGATAGTCTCTGGGTGTTTGGAGGGTGTTTACTGTTTGGAAGCGCTGTGCTGCTTGTCACCGCGCGGGTAGCGTTCAAAGGGTGGAAGCTTTTGGTCAAGGCGTGAGGCATATAAACGGGGAAGAATATATCATCAAAACAAAGTACACAATCTATACATTAAAAGAGATATACCCGATTGCAGATATTCGGCATAAAAAGGAAATCTATAAATAACCACATCATTGTGCTTCGCACCACGCTTTCAAGTCATTGTTGTAACCTTCCCATCCTCTCCTCGTCTTTTCTGGGAAGCCGAATTGTCGGGCTACCACGTTTTCGCCCATCAAGAAAGCTAGTGCGCCACTGAAGACTTCTTCTTGTGTGAACTTTGTACCACCTGGAACGGTGCTGCTGGGCTCGAAAACGAAAGAATGCGTGCCTGTAAACAGAAGCGGTATTGAGCCGGTCCATGCAAAGGAGGTGGGTGTGTTGTGCTGTAATTGTATCAGATGATGCTCAGCTAGAGTGTAGTGGGCACGTACTTCGATTGGTGCGTCCATCTTTTGACCAGATGAAAAGACGACACGTATCTTGTTCCCTGATTCGACCGGGCCGAGTGGGCTTAGGGACGTAAAGAAGCCTTTGTGATATTTGGAAAGGGATGCAAAGTCGAGGAACTTCGCGCGGACAGTTTCTGGTGGGGATGCAATGTCGATGCTTGCTGTGACCGTCATGGCTATGGAGTGGCAGCTGAGATGCAGTGGATATTGAGCAAGCCTGACGAGCACGATTTGGTGTTATGAAGGCGAAGTTGAGATTAAATGTGATGGGAGGAGACGATACACTGGACGATACTTATATATTGAGAAGCGTATCTACCTTCTCGTGCGTACATGTCTACAGTTAAAGTCGCCTGGTGAAAGAGCTCGCTATACCTTTTGCGGCTCAATACGCGGGCATGCACCTGCAGCCTTTTCGCACAGCTATGCTGGCATTACAGGTGTGCTCAAGAAATCCAGTGTTAGAGTCGCGATGGGAGAGACTAGGACCGGGCGTTACGTGCAGATGTGAGGGGCCTGTCACCTCGCCCAATGAGCCGCAAGTGGTTTAGCTCGACCCTGTATTAGGCTGACATGTGCTAGCTGCAGTCAGCCCATCTACTCCCCACCTTCCTTTTCAGCCATCTCGTTCAATGTACCGCATTCGTCCCAGCTATATGTGTCTCGTAGAAATCAGGTTCATGCCATGGTCAATGTAGCTGGTCGTTCGAAAGGATGCTCAACCTGCCGCAGACGCCGTGTCAAGTGCGGTAAGCGCCAGTCACCTGCACGTTAGATGTAAGGCTGACAACTTTGAAGACGAGACTCACCCTATCTGTCAAAGATGCGAAAAGGCTGGGTTCCAATGCGACGGACCGCAAACCACTGTTTTCATACAAGGCAAGATTGTCAAATCTAGAAGATCCCAGAAGCCAAAGGATAGTGTGGCCGGCCCGGATGCAACAACAACTTGGAGGAGGCAAGATGTGGAAGAGTCGGCATCTCTATCTCCTGACAACCAGATTGCCATTCCTCAAGTGAGGTTCAGATTCAACGAAAACGAGGTCTACATTTGCTATCTGCGCCGCCATCTTCTTCCCAATGGCCCGATCGATTTAGGGCTTCAGGAGCTCCAAGCCTCAGATATTGATACCAAGGATTCATCGATAGCGAAAGAGGGTGCCCCGTTGTTCATTCAGGCTGCGCTCAGCTTCGCAACCCTATTCTTTGGTTCGCGCTACCAGCAGAATGGAATTCTCACCCAGGGTTACACCATACATGGTGTAGCCCTCAAGCGACTGAATCAAGCTCTGAGTGAGCCTGAGCGTCGTATGTGCGACGATGTCATCGTTTCCGTCATCATTTTGGCGATGCTTGAGCTTTTCATGCCTACCGGCCCGAAGAACTGGCTCAAACACATGCTTGGCCTTGAACAGCTTCTGGCATTACGTGACCCAGGATCTCTGGTGTACGCGTCATTTAGAACGTTGGAACTATACAAAGGCGTGCGACACATGATATTGATTGCATCGCTGAGGAACAGATCACCTTCCATCTTTGCGCGACCAGAGTGGAAATCCGTATTGAGGACAGCGCTTTCGTTGGAAACTCCGGAAGAACAAGACTTACATGACGTGCTCGCAGATTGCTCGGTGTTAATGGCTGTCAGCGACGAGACCTTCAAAGCTCAGCGTGTATCTGGCTCCGAATTCCCGCGGCGACGACAAAAGATCCAGTGCAGAGCCGAGGAGTTACTCATATTCCTCGAGGCTTGGAAAGTTCGGTGGGATGGTAATGAGGAGAACATCTATATTGAAGAGTGTGTCGAGGCCATTACAGCTGGGACATCACCACGAACTATCTACAGGTTCATCAACGACTCAGCCGCGCGGATGCTGATGCTGTATAATACGGCTCTGCTCTACGTACTTAGGATCATGGCGACTTTAGAAACTACACAGCACAGTCCTCACCATGATCCAGACAACCTCTTACAAGGACACGCAGATACAAGCGTTCTAAAGGAGAGCTCTTTTTATCCCTCTATCCAGGCTGCAGGACTGGATATTGCCCGTTGCATTTCGGATTATCTACAGCATAAACGTGCACGTGGGGAAATGGACTTTGCTTCCCCTGTCGTTCAGTGGGCTGTGATCATTGCTGGAACGGCACTGGGGTCTGAGGACTTGAACTGGATGGTGGGACTCTTGAAGGGAGATGTCACGCTTGACGTCGCGAAGAGGGCATGGGAGATGTGAACGTGCCCACAGATCTCTCATCGTTGGTAAGCTAGGAGATCAAGAGCTGAGTGGCTGCGTCGCAACTGGTTGTGTAAGCCCTGACCAAAAGCAGTTCTCCTATATTTGGAAGACCACTTTTCGGTTGCAAGATTTGAATGGCTCAACAATACGCTATCGATTCTTCGTTATGTGTATATCCAGGAATCCTACTGGCAGCCTTACAGTTGCGCACCCGGAAACACTGCTGCTTCGGAAACCATCCTCCTATCTCCCGACGATCTTCTTCTCAAGATATCGCGCAGGTATATACACAAGCGCGGTTACAACGAATGTAAACTCATTCGCGACATCACCACCATCAGATCCAATAAGACCTCCCAGCGGTCCAACATACCAAGTTTCTACCATGCCCATAATCCACGCCACGATACCGATGACAAACGATGTGCCAGCAGCGATACCGAGCGGAAGACGACTGGGATCGTTCCACGCGTCCAGGTCGTAGTTGTCAAAGTTCATACGACGGAAGATGACATGTTCGCTGCATAGAATGACAAAGTACTGCGTAGTCCAGTAGCCGAGGAGACTAAGGAAGTTCTCAAGGTAGACGCTGAGTTGCTCGCGGCCGCCGATAGCGAGACCAAGGATGGCAGCGAAGCAAACCAGGATCCAGATGAAACGGGGTACGCGTGCGAAAGGGCGGGCAAATTGCTGGCAAGAGATGGCGGCACTGTAGATGGAAATGACGTTTACGTTGATACCGGAGAGGACCAGGAGGGTGAGAATCAGTTTGGCGAAACCGCGAGGGTAGAGCATGGTTTGGATGAGGAAACCCAGACCCTCATTGTCGTACGTTTCTTGCCACTCTGGTCGGTTGTGCATGCCGGAAGACACCACACAGCCTGCTAGCATACCGATAGAAGTGGGAATAGCGATGCCGAAGGTTGTCATGAGGAAGACTTTCCAGCGCGAGACGTTGACAGGGTAGTGGACATAGTAGTCGGAGGCCATGGTCTGCCACGATGCTGAGCTTCCGTAGACAATAGCAATCAAGCTCAGAACCTGTCCACTGAGGTCCGCTCCCTTCAGGTCGGTTTTGGTGCTGTTGTCCGCGTACTTGCCTGTCTCCGCGAAGAAGATGATGAAGATGATAAAGAAGATGAACCATGCATAGCGTTCGTATACCAGGATCGCTCGCAGACCGACGAACGAAATTATCGTGGCAACGACAGCGAGGATGACTATACCGACGATCAGGGAGATATGGCCATCCGCTACAGCCGTTAGTGCTAAACCACCTGTGATGCAAGCGACAGACGCCCAGCCAATCTGCACGATAGTGTTAAGAGCAGCAATGAGCTTGTTAGGCCACCATCCAAACGCATATCTTGACACTGAAATCTGCCTCAGTCCCGTCGGCGCACCAAAAGTGGCTGCGAATCCGGTGGCAGCGCCACCAAGGATAGACGCAAAGATGGTGATGACGATACTCTGGCGAAGCGCTATAGGCACACAAAACGAATCAGTCGACCAGTTCGCAAGAGCGAGGGAGGAGCAAAATCCTTACTCAACCCGAATTGAGGTCCCAGAAGGCCGGTGGCAAAACAAGACGTGTTCATGGTTCCAGATGCCCATAGGAAGAACATGTTGAGTTGGTGATGCCATGGTACGTGTCCCTTTTCCTCTGGCAGCTTGCGACTGATGGCTTCTGATTCAATTCCCAGCTTCGCGTCTAATCTGGCTTCGAAGCGGCGTAGCTTGGCCAGGAGCCCCGTTTCGCGGGTGACGGTCGCATCGCCGATCCTCCCGCTGTCAGTTGAGACGCTGGTTTCGTCCTGGGCCTTTTCCGCTGAAAACATCATGGAATGTACCGTGGTAACGAATACTCAGAAGAATGGTGGTACAAAAGTAGTAATCATGAAAGAGTGTGAACCGTCCAGGGTCCGCACCGAGCGAAACATTCTTGCTCTTTAGTACACTACCCCACCCATCGCGCACAATCGGCTCCGGCCACGTCATGAAAAGCCGTTTGACGCCGGTGGCAGGGCACGAGAAAAAAGAGTTGCCGTATGCCGCCTAGCTTGTGTGGCTTGCAAGAGCTAGTAGGTCCACTCTTATCTTTGACAAGCAATTCTGGGCAAAGCTTAGCTTTCCGGCAATCATCGACTATTCCCTCGGTAGAAATCCTGCGCGTGTGCCCTGCATGTGGTGGACAGCTTATCAGGACTCGGCCCCCGCAATTGTCCTAGCTGTTACATGGGCTGGTTAGCTTGGTGATATGGTGCCGTTCTCATGTCATGGGTGTAGAGTAGATGAGTATGTTGCAGCTTCCATGCAGGTACGCA